CAAATCTTCTGACGATGGGCTTAGGGAATGCAAAAACCAACCACCTTGGGCATTCCTCCTTTTTCATGAAACCAACGCGAAACACACAGCATCCTGTCCCTTCCGCAGAGGACTCTTCCGCTTTGAGCCGAGCCGGGAAAGGATTGGTTTCCCTTGCACGCGTAACCTGGACGTTCATTCGCCTGTGAGGCTCCGGGATCCGGATCCTGGAGCCGCTGCGCGGGCGTCCTCAATCCAACTTGAGTTCTTGAGTGGTGGGAAAGCCCATGAGAAATCAATACCGTCGTGTGCACCACCAAGGGAACCTGACTGAGTCCATGTTAAGCCACAAAAAAGCGCGAAAGCTAGCAGCCGCTTTCGCCGCTTTCGCCTGTGAAGTCCACCGAGACCTTGTCGAAGGAGCGGGGCTTCGCACACTTCTGGGTCTCGCAGTCCACGGGCTTCAGGATCTTCCACTTCAGGCCGCTCTTGGTGACCTTCGTTCGTTTTAGCTTGACAATGCTTCACAAAATCGGAGGGCACAAGTGAAAAGGTGGGGACTCGTGTCCAAGCCTTGAGCAGTTTTGAGAAGACAAGTTGATAGCTTCCAAGCTCCCCGTATTCATGGCCCAGAAATTCGAAGCCACTGCAAGCCCCTTGTGGAGGCACGCAGAAACACGCCCCATCGAGGTGTCCCAAAAATGGGCACCTGTGGTTGAAGGTTGAAGTGAAACCAACAGGAACAAAGAACCCCAAAGGGGTTTTGGTTTCCAGAAACCTCAAAAAGGCCTCTAAAAAGAACACCCACATCACCGGGGTCAGCTTGGATTGTGGCCTGCGCATCTGCCGGTGGAGTCTTCAAGTCCTTGGGCGCCTGAGCTGTGGGTCGCCGACTCAGGCGCGTGGCAATCGCCTCGCTGAATGTTGAAACATGTTGAAACCTTCATACTTGAAATTATCTTCCCTTGAAAAAGGGGCCAGGGTCTGGCACAATGCACGGAAGCAGGGGTGAGAAGTGACGGCCTGGCATGTAAGCTCTTATTTGACCCATGGGCAATGACAAACTCTAACATGGTGCCCTCACTAGACACCAAGTATCCCAAAAAACAGGGCCAGTGAATGGAACACATGCGCTGGAGTTGCCTGAGAAGCCATTTGTCATTGGCTCCTACGCGTTATCAACCCGGGACATGTACGTGTCAAAACAGGGGAACTCCGAAAGTGGTGGCTGTCCTTATGGTTTGCCTTTCAACCCCCCTGAAAAGGACCCGCAACAAACGTGTGCACTCAATAGGCTGACCCGCCGCAAAAACACGCTCGGATTGAGCCCGCCTTCTTCTTCTGCTCCTCCCCGAAAGGGTCGAAGCCCTGAGCAGAAGCCTCCTTGGGTCTCAGCACCTGTCGATAAGAACAAGTCACTGAAGGGGAAGGGCCCTTTGTCGATGGTGACTCAGGAGAACCCGTCAGAAAATTGGAAGGGGTGTTTGTTGGATGGTGCGGAAAAAGAGACGGGCAACCCCCCCCCCTCCCCTGCCAACATGGCGGCCATTTTTGGTTGGGGCTTCTTTGAAAACACACGTTTCCCCATTGTGGTCCCTGGGACATCCTTCAAATCTGGGGTTCAACATCAAAAAGCCACACTTGTTTGTGGTGAGAACGCCCAGACATTTATTTCGCAGGCTTGTTTGTTCGCAGGGTTCCGACAGGCGCTGTCACCAATCTCATCACTCCGCACAACGCGTCGCACACCTGTATCCACGCCCTGCCAAATGATAAGCACACCCGCTCAAGCGACCCCGCTGAGCACTGCATCCACGCAGAGTGATAAGCACACCCGCTCAAGTGACCCCGCTCAGCACTGTACCCACGCCCTGCCAAATGAAAAGCACAGCCGCTCAAGCGACCCCGCTGAGCACTGCATCCACGCCCTGCCAAGTGATAAGCACACCCGCTCAAGCGACCCCCGCTTAGCGCTGTATCCACACCCTGCCAAGTGATAAGCACACCCGCTCAAATGACCCCGCTCAGCGCTGTATCCACTCCCTGCAAATTGATAAGCACACCCACTCAAGCGACCCCGCTGAGCACTGTATCCACGCCAAGCACACCCGCTCAAGTGACCCCGCTCAGCACTGTATCAGCAGCGCGAAAACACGAAGTTTTGTCTTCCTGCTTCTTTCCAAAAACGTGATTTCGCCAAGGCGAAACGCATGTCAGGTCCAAAACGACAACACCGTCGTGGAGGATTTCAGGCTTCCGGAACATGTTTTTTGGCAGGCAACGTGCGTTTCGCCTAGGCGAAATCACGTTTTGAGGTTTTCGCAGCCGGGGTGAGTTGCTGAAAACGCAGGGCGCGTTACGTGCGTCGTCACCTTGTTTGTCCTTTCGTAAAGTGAGCCATGTTCAAAATGACTTGGTCCCAGGCGGGCATGAGTGAGTCCCCCCATGTCCCTCCCAAATGAACCATAGACAAACCAGGAGATGTCCACCGCTGACCGCCTCAGCGGACGTCAGGACCAACACTTCCCGTCGCAGCGTCACTCTTCGCTCCGGTAGAGAGAAGCAGGTGCCTCACAGATCAAAAGGTGGAGGCTTGCGCAGAAAATGGTTGCTTTACTTCATGTTTGGGGTTGGTTCAAAGAGAAGATGGTTTTTGTCTTTGCTTGGAATTGGGGAAACCCAAAGGGTACCAACTCCATCCACATTGGGCAGCTGATCATTTGTTCAAGGGATACTTTTGGGGGGTGGGTTCGATGAGAAACCAAAGGAAACTGTTGGGGTTCTGAGTGACAAACATGCACAAAATGGTGGCTGACCAGGGCAACCCCAAACCCACTCTACAAAGTCAGCCATTGGTCCCAAAGCCAGGGGTTGGATGAGATCTCGTTTGGAGTCCAGGTTTTGTTTCCAAGAACCCTCCGACACATCTTTTGAGCAAACCCAAGAAACGTCTGAAAGGAATCCTCCTCGGAATGCTCGAGCAGGTATGGAGGATTCTGAGATGAATCTGAACAAGTTATAAAAAGCTTGCTTGGGGGCAACACAAGCTCGCCCGTGAGAAAGGTCCCTCACCGGGAGATTCTTTATTTCCTACTTGTGAATCAAAGTAACTCGCCCGCAACGTTTGGGGGGACACAAATGTGCTGCCGCCGCCTCCAAAACAAGACATCCCATTTGGCAGATTAAGTGCAGCAAAGTTTCTGCGTAGTAGCCTGCAAGCATGCATTCCAAGATGAGCCGAAAAGTTTGCGACCAATGTTTGATTGTGCCTGTCGGCGATTTTGCAGTGGCTCACGCAAATTGGTGCGCAAGAGCATGCTTCTGTGCACACACCTTTGTTGTAACCTTCTCGTGCATCTGCCTTGCGCCATTGTGCGCTTGACTTGCTCGCACTCACGTGTTGTGCGCGGAGAGGTGCATGCACCTGGTTGTGTTGTTTTTCAGGGACCCCCAAAAGAACGGTGTTCCTCTCGGGTTCCCTTTAAAACCACACAAAAGAAGCTCCCTCAAAAAATGACACCCCCACCCGGCGATGCCTGGGTCCAAGCTCTCCAAAGGCACAAAGCCCTTGAAAGCCGCATGCGACCCATTGAATGAAGCGCCAGACTTACACGTCGTGCACGCAGCGCCTTGTGTCTGGCAAGGTTGACCTGGGTTTCTCAAAATAAGGTTCCCCTAGCAATGGTTGGTTGCCTCATAGTTACCTTTTGGTACCGACTAAAACAAGGGGTTCCAGCATTTTGAGAAACTCCCACCTGGTAAACACCCAATTCTAACCTAGACGGGGTCCCGTGATTGGACCTTTTTTCAGGGAACTGGGAAGCATCACGGGCTTTATGAATCAGAGCGTCAACATGAGGCGAGAACCCCAATTCTCGAAAAGTGACGAAATCCGCCCTAAGACCGTCGCTTGAGGCATCCAAAAGAAGGTGGTCCGCCCCAGTTGAGGACTGCCTTCCGCCATTTCAAGGGGATCCACACAAAATTGACAATCCTCCATTGCCCTGCTTCTTTTTAAAGGGGACCCCAAAATGCTGGTTTCCCGTGTAGTTTTCCTGATTTCTTTATACCCTACACCCGAATGGCGTTTAGAAAGCAGCCGTCTGATTACAAACCCAGGCCCCCACTCAGTCCCCTTGAACCGAGACGCGCCGCCAAGAGCGCCAGGCCCAAACCTCTTAGGCTCGGCCGAGCGTGTGCCATGTGCGCAAACGAATCTCAACACCGGACGGGGGGGTGGGCAGGTGGCTGGGGGTTGAAGTCAGACATACGCGCCCGTGTGCGTGTGTATATATATATATATATGTTTGTCAACAGATATGTAGTTGTATAACATGTGTTTGAGTGTGAGTTTTTGTGTGTGTGTGACATAGCGCCTCCACCGACATCCATCATTTTGTTGATTTCCAGCGCTATGTTGAAAAAGGAACTTGGTTGGGTGTTGCAAAACAACATACCGATGTCAGTCAGCAGCTTGAGCCAATATGTCCGGATTCTGCATGGCCGCAATGCTGACAAATCCGGTGGGCGCCGCATGAGAGGTTGCGCATCCCCATCAATCTGCACGGTTCCTTGCGAACTCTCTCGAAAAGGGTCCGCTCAGATTTCACCAACCTGGGGTCGAAGCAAGATCCTTTTTTGAGCGGAGATGTCTCTCGCCATTCGAAAAATGGCTCCTTTGCCAGTTGCATATGTTGATTTCACTGGACCACACTGACTAGAGGCATGCCCTGAATCACACTGAAGGAGGGCGTCTTCACCCTTGACAAGTATACCCTGCAGATGAACATGGAACACCCAAAACCAGGGTTTTCAGAGGATTTAATTCTTTTTTTAAGGTACCCACCCCTGTTCACAGAGTGGAGTCCTCTGGCTGGCCATGGACACAAAATGAAAACTGTGTGTTTTTGATCCGAAAGTCTAAAAGTCGAAAAAAAAAAAATCGAGAAGTCGAGCCTGTTTAGTCCCATGTCAATCCGGGGATGGTCCAGATTCGAATCCCAAATGGTCCCCACTTCCGCCTTTGCGAGCAGCTCCGCGTGCTTCTCCGGCTCTTGCTCTGCTTGGCCAGTCAGCCCTTGCCTGGCGCGCACGATGCCAAGCTAGTAGACCAACCTGGGTGAGGAATAGGGGGCTCACCCTCTTGAGGAGATATCACGTTTGCGTAAGCCAGGTTTGTTGGTCCAGTGTTCATCCAGACGTTGCTAAGACAAAGTCTCAACTTCGGATTTGTCTTCAGGACCGTACTCGTCAGAGGCAACTCTCTTTGTCCCTTTAGTGGAATTCACATCAATTTGGGGGATTCCTCTGCTTCTTTGCACGGTCCTACGGACTCACATTACCGGGTCCATTAAAGTGACATCCGCAAAACGATCTTTAAACTAGGTGTTTGCAGGAAACCGCTCACTACCTCAAGGGATGCCGCCCTCTCTCCCCAGCGCCTGTGGAATGAATCCCCATATTCGACCACCTCAGACAGCTTGCTGGCATCCTGCCACTGCTGGAGACATGGATTCTCCCAACCGACCAAGAACCAATCGGTGGCGACCCGGGTTGAAAAAGATCGCCAAGGCGACCCAGAAACCCTTCACATCTTTGTCTACCCTTGTGGTTTGGTCATTCTAAAGCCGAGCCACCTTAACCCTTCACTCGACCAACAAGATTCGCGGGTCCTGGACCTTTTCCATGGTGCGGACCAGTCGTGTCAGTCCTCCGGCCTGGGCAAAGAGGAAACAGTTTTTGACCCGGGTTTTATCTAAAGAACCCTGCCTCACACCTGCCGTACTAATCGCAGTGTGGATGTTGTTTTCCAAGACCCAATGCGAATGGCACAATGCTCCCTGAGATGTTCAAGGATCTCTCAAAGAGCGATGGCTTATCGCGGCAGTTGCTCTGGTTGCCGGCTAAGCATGCTACAGGAAAAAGCCGTAAGCCCAAACTTGCAGTTCACACGAATCCCATGACCCTTTTCAACATCACCTTTCCAAAAGGAAAATCTGAAAATGGTAGAAAGGTGATCCCACTCCAAAAGGGAAATCCAGTTGACTGTGACTGACGCACAAGCTCCGGCGTCTGAGCCCCGGCCTCTGCAGCCAAGCTCGAGAGCTTGAGCAGATCCTCCGACCACGAAGAAACCCAAAAGACTCTGAGACCCGTTGTCGGGTGAATTATGCAACCCGTCTTCTGAAAGAAACATAAGCCAAATGACAAACAAATTCATTTCGGAAATCAGCACAATTGCTGCCAGTATTATTATTGCAATTAAACCGCTGTATGAACAACTGTTGGTATCTCTTCTCCTGGGTTGTTCAAAGCGGGGATGTGGATCTCTAATGATAATCCATGGCCGAATCTTAGTGGGTCCCGAAAAGGGTGGATGAACTTGCTGAAGACCTGCCAGAGTGTGCCTTGTGGTCTCCCTGGGTCCAATGCTAAGGGAGGTCTAGGGAAGCTTAGGGTCAGGGCTGGGGTGCAACCGAAGTTCCTTACATTGCCTGTAGGGTTTGGATTCCCGGCAACAAGTGCATAAAACAAGTTGGGTGGAAACGCCGGCCTCGCGGACTCACGAGGAACAACTGCCATTTGGCACAAACATCCAGCGGATGAATTTGCAGGGTTGGCGCCCCAAGATGGTTGCGTTTCCTTTGACTTCCCGTTGAGAAAAGACACCCCCAAAAGCTACGAGTACCCTCACAAAATGACGCACCCGCAACCCAGTTGCAGGCACAGGGTCTTGCTAGCTCTGGTCTCCTGAAAGCGTCCGCCTCCGCGCCGCAAAGCTTCCAGGAAATTGCAAACCTGTGCTGAGGGAGCGGGGCCCAACAAACCCATAGACGCTGGGGTGCTTCCAAGATGTGTTTACAAATAATCGGGCAGTTTTAGCGCTTTTACCAAAGATAAAGCACAGATGCAGAGGCAGATGAATACACATATGCAAGTATTCATATAAACCTGCACACATATATGTATATATACACACACACCTATATAGATACATTAGTACGCTGCCCCCACCCCCCCGTCCGAAACCCACCAACATGGCATGTGTTGGCGTGCTGAGATTCAAGATGACCCAAAAATATTAAGAAACGTGGCTATAAAGCCACTTTGAAGTAAATGGGATTCACATTCAAGATTCCCTAGGCTTTTTCAGCATCTTGAACCTTGAATCCACATGCAGCAAGCGATTCGCAGCTCCAGCAAGAAATCAGCATCGGCATACAGCGCAAGTTGCAGCTGTTCTGGTTCGTCAAGCACTGTGCCAACTAATCGGTATTACAAGTGGAGTTTATTTAAGAAACCAGTCGCAGTAATTGATGATCATTGTTAAGACCACTTTGTTCACACACGTTGCGAGGTCACCGATTGGCTTGATGATGTCGGGTCGCGAGAGCCGGCCTAGCCACAGGGCTTTCATCAAAAGTTTACATGCTTTAGAACCTAGCTCGCCTTCTGTTTGACTATCCTCGATGGGAAGGGATCCCTCAAAACAGAAAGGCGTTTGCACTGGGCGCAACTTGGCTGCAGGCAAACCTGTCACTTGCAAATATAGTTCTACTGTCTGCTTTGCGTACTTGCTCATGTCGAATGCAAGTGCTCGTTTTAACGCGCCATTGGCTGCGTTTATGTTGGGCTCGTCCGTACCCTTTGAGGCGCTTACATAGACATGGTTGCGGCCGAAAACATCTGTTCCGGCGGCTCAACGTCAACGAGAGTTGTGAGTTTCTCCCAAAACGCGTCGCGGTCTGCCTCTGGACCCGCCAGGGCAAGATCATACACGTACGTAGATAACATCAACCTAGTTTGAGGGAACCAACAGGGTACTCCGAAATCTCCTCGCCCTTCTTGAAATGGGCTTCCCACAAACCCCGGCGTTGGGATGCCCGTAGGGAGCTGTAATCAAGAGAACCACGGGCTTCTGGAAGCGGTCACGCCACCAACGGGGCCTGAGCTCGGGAGGCAAGGAAATCCATGTTTTTTACCCGACTTGAGAAGCGCTTGCACATACGCTTTCACCGCATCAGCTACGGCACACTGGTTGCCGGGCAACGATCCATAAGCAACACATGCATTCAACCCTTGGACCGAGGTGGGATTTGCTCCAAGTTCCTGGTACACGGCTGCAGCACCATATTCATCTTTCGCACAGTCGCCCCTATAGACAATCCGGCCCGTATGCTTTCGGAGGCGCACTGCTAACTCTGAGAACTTTATGGGTGAGATCGTCATCAACTGTCCACAGTGACGGATGCTCCCTTGTGTCGCGCTTCAGATGCGACCTCAGCTTGCCCCCTGACGGAGGACAGGTCCCAAGCGCCCGATTTCTGCAAACCCCCGGCTTCCTTTTTGATTGCTTCAATTGCCTCTGGAGAGGACAACATGTCAGCACGGGAAAGCAACTTAGTTACCATTGCGGAAACTTCTGGCTTACGTTTTTCAGGAGTTGGGCCATATGCCTGGGCCATCATGCCATCGAAGTCTAAAGCCTCTTCTAACATTTCCTTGGCCTTAGGATCTGACTCTACAAGAACAGCGATGTCCTCGAGACAAGCTAAGGGTGACTGATGTTTCAGCGGCTGCTCCTTCACGATGCTCCTGCTGCGCTGCTTGCGGAACAACAGCATGGCCGGCGCCGGAATGGCTGCGGCCTCTGGATACAGCGCGCGAATGATGAGATGACACATCTGTTCCGGATAAAATGCAGCGCGAGACGCTACACTACCGGCTGCGTGCGTGTGCTTTGCATCAGCATCATGCGGGCATTGCTTACACGCGAAGGAATCGGCAAGCCTCTTAGAGTTGGTCATGAGGCGCCACGGTTTCTTGATGGGAGAACCGTCTGCATCTTTGAGACCGACTGCGCATCCGTGAAACTCGACCGAATAAAAAAGCGCTGACGTCTTTGCGTCGCCAGCCTTCGCAGTCACGTGGCCATTCAAAGGTGACCTCACCTTGACGACTCAACACAATCTCCGCGCGACGCGCAAACCGTGCAAACTGCTGCTGCGACTTCATGACTTGTTGGGCGAGCTTCCTCTTGAACTTGCTCCTAGCTTAAACAGGTTCAACCTTTGCCATGGAGAACCGCTTGTGCATGGTAAAGCTGCCCGTTGGTTTTGCACATGCATTGAGCTGTGCAGTTGGTTGCACTTCGCCTTCCTCCGTTTCTGGATCTATGAACTCCTTGGCCAAACGAACATGCGGAATTTTGTACAAACCGCTCACTTTTCCCATTGTGGATTGTGGTGAACAAGCGTATTCATACAAAACAGGCGTTTCTCCCTCCCGCGCGTTACGCTTGCGAGTTCTATAGTTGCCGACTATAGGCTTTGCGGGTGTCGCGTTGACAACTGTCCCAGGCCTCAAGGTGAAAATGGTAAAACCAATCCACTCGTGGCTTAGCTTGCGATGCGCTGCCTTTTTGCAAAGCCAATCGTCTTCTATGACTTCGCTCTCTCCGCCAAGATAGACGACACTCGTTGCGCGAGTGGGCAAGAGGCACAGGACAACTTGCTGCTCTCCTGCTGTGGATGCATATTACCTTATTCGATCCAGGCTTAGATACCCACCTATCTTCCCCTTTATTCTTGGCGTAGGCAAGTGCATTATTTGCGTAATCTAATGAACACGGCATCCCGAACAAAAGGCCGAATCCTTCGTCGCCACTGATCTGGAGGCAACTGGAACGACTCGGAACCACCCTGCCAACAACAATCAACAAGTCAAAACATCTCTCTTCACCCAGCCAAATCCTCCACCAGCCTCCAAGGTCATCCAATCCCCAGGCAGATGGACATCCCCCACAGGCAAGACGGGTCTTCCTCCACCGTTCAGGGCCGTTTTGCTCTGCAGCGGTTTGAACCCTCAAGGAGCTCTGAAATCCAAGCGAACGCAAAGGACAGTAGGTTTCGCCCTCCTTCGGAAAGGGCGAGCCATTATATGACTAGCCTGGTGTGCAAAGGTTGTGTGTACTCTTGCGTAACAATGTAAGGGCGCAAAAGGCAGTTCCCAGTTCACAAGCCTTTTCCAGCCAAGGAGCCTTCAACAATCGCAGTCAGACGGCTAAGGAACGGAGAAAAGCCGAATCCTTGTTGCCACTTTTCTGGAAGCTACCGCATCTAACAGGATCGATGAAAAAAGGCTGGCAACTCTCTCCCCAGCTGAAAGACTGGCCTGAGCGACCGCCCCGCCTAGACCACGCCCGCAATCGCACTTTGGATATTTGGGGAATAGGTAGCAAATTTAGATGCCATGGAGCTCTGCAAAACCGCTTCCAGGCAAATCCAGGCAAAGATTATGAGCAGTTGCTATGCCAGGTCAAGGCAGCATCGAAGTGCAATTTCCATATTTTGTCCCAGCATCGCGTTTTATCTTGTCTTCATATTCAAGGGAACTTTTCCACGCTCACTCCCAGCTCTCGTCTGCGCTCCAAGGGTGCTCGCTAGCAGGATTCTTAGTTGTTGGGCACCGCTTGTGGGCCACCTGCACGGCAAGAAGCCCTGCATCTTGCAAGCTGCGGAAAGCGGCGAGGAAACGAGCGCCCAAGCTTCCCGTGTCTGTGGCCTGCAACTGCACCGCCCTCCTTTTCTTGATTTCTTTTTCCTGAGATGATCTGGGTGCGCCCGGTGCTTTCCAGAATCTCCTTCTCGAGTAGTTTCTTCTGTGAGGCGATGCTCCTGCGCAACCCACGGGCCTTTGCCGAGAGTCTAGACGCGCGCACGGAGCATGACACTAGAACAGACTGCGTGGCACAAACAATCTCCGGATCGGCGCTCGGTCCTGAGCAGGAGCGGCGATGCCTCGCGGCCGCAGCAAAGGACTGTGCTTGCACAAGGCGCAGTGCAGGGACCACTGGCGGCGGAGTCGATGGAGAGCGCAAAGAACTTCGCGGACAGCGATGCCGCAGCGGGGCTCTCGTTGGTGATCGCCTGGGCGATCCGCATGACTGCCTGGCAGGCCATGGATGGAAAACAGGCTTTGCGACGCGTAGAGCCTGAGAGGCTGGAGGGTATAATGGTCGGGCTGCTAACAATTCCAAAATTGCATATGCCTGCGAATCGTTCCGCATGTTCAAGATCTTGGCCCTGGCACAGGTGGCGAGCTGCTTGCCCGCATCGTCGAATCGTAGACAAACAGCCTCAGATCCTTCATGCCATGTGGCACACGCGTGGAGGGCGGAACCGACGCGCAATGCGCTCATTGGACAAGAGAGACAGGCTTGGTTGGCTTGTGAGGGGGTTTGCTGCAACGACATGTGGAGACAAAAGCCAAAAACAAGAAAACGGCACGAATGCGCTCCGAGGAACGATGCCTGAAGCTCTTGCAATACGGGCGGAGTACTCCCCTCTGCCGCAGCGTGCACCACAGACACGGCGTCCGCCACTCGCGTATGCAGCAATGTGTCCTTGAGGAGACACTTTGGCCCTCCAGGCTTCAAGTAATTAATGTGTAAAAACGCAAGCCCTGCCAATAGCTCAAATGTGTCCTCCCCCATAGTCTTGCAAGCATCCGGCAGAAAAACTGCTCCTTGTCGCTCAGTCGGTATTGTCCCACTATGGACTGCTAGCCCCGCGCCGTGGAGGTGGAGCGTGGAGGTGGAGCGCTATTCGCCTCCACCTCCACAGCCCGCGGACTTGCAGCGGCCACCTCAGCTTGCGATAATGCGGTTCCAAACAGTCTTCTTGCCCACCACCATCTGCGGTCTGCGTCTGGGTGCCTGGATGAGAGCAACTCAAGCGCCTGCCTGGCTTGTACCATCGCGCTCCAAACGGCCAAGCCTCAGAAAGCCCTTCTTTGACTGGTAGTAAGGCAGGGCGTAGAACAGTGTCTGGAAGCAGAGTTTCGCGCTGGCCGCCCCAGGCGCCTCCATGAAAGCTCGTAGATGTTTCAGCCCCATTTGGCGGCTAGGAAGTTGCTTGTGGAACTCTGACCTCGTCAGCAGCACTGCCTTTTTCAAGAGCACCCTACCCGCTTGCAAAGCTTGGGCGGCAGACTTACATCCCTCCTCCTTGGAGCACTTGCGCTCCGGGACCACTTGCGGCCCCCTCCCCTTGCTGGAGCACTTGCGCTCCGGGACCACTTGCGGCCACTTGCTCTGCCAACCCACTGGAACTTGGAATGCACATTCACTTGCGCCGCGCCATTCTGGGAGTTGGGCTGCGGCTCGTGAGTGTCCGGCACACGCGATGATTTGGCAGATTTCTGAAAGGTATCAATGATTGCCTCTAGAATAGCCAAGCTTTGTGAAAGCTGCGCATTTTCAATCGGCAAGGAGTGCCTGCCTAACCAACAACCGCTTGTCGGGCTTGCTTCCGCAACTGCATATTCAGCTTGGTGGCGCAAAAAGCGCGCTTTGTTGAGGAGAGACACACGGAGAGAGCTGCTGCTTCGCTTTCACGAGCCTGGGATACCGCTTGTTGTGCTTGCGCTGCAATCTGAAAGGCCTCCTGCCTAAATGCACTAACCTTTTGAGTTGCCATTTCCACGACATGACCAATAGCCCGCTGCGCTTCCCGCTGTTGTTGCATGGCATAATTTGCTCTGTGTGCTTGTTGCAGCGCCGCGCCAGCAATGAACGCGGCAGCGGGCATATTAGTCATGGGATCAGGGTACGACGGTTGTGCGCCAGTATCCAGCTGGATGTATCCGAATGGTTCAGACACAATTGGCAAAATTGGGGAAGGAGTAGTCCTATCTCGTGCTCGGGTATGGATTACCACCAAATCGTAAGGAGGAGCTATCCCAGAAGCCATGGCTGCACGTGGTTATACTAATTGTTTACCCTCCTCTTGAAGTTGGGGATAACCACGGAACCCAGCGCTCAGATTGATTTTTGCTGCAATGCACGCCGCGCCGGTTGGCTGCAGCCAGGCTGCAAAACGGGTCCAGTTGGTGAGCCCTGCAGCTTGGTCTGCGGGCTGTGTGGAACTGCTCTGTGTGTCCTCAGACGACTGCTGATCTACTGTTGAACGCGTTGGGGCACTTTCTGACGGGGTCGACGGCGGCGGCTGTCGCCCGGAATCTTCTGACTCCGAATCAGTCGCCGCGCCTTGGGCTGGCCTGAGTTGAAGCTGTTGCACCAAATGTCTGTTGCAAAAACTCTTCAACTGCAGGTTGTATTCCGATCCAAATTGCTGTCTCCCTCGTCTCGCCACCTGCGAAATATTCCAATGTCTTGTCGAGGATCTCGAGGTGCTCGCCAGTCCGGCAGATCTAAACCCAACTCGTGCCTGGCGGCTTGTTGTACCTCGATATACAAAGTATACCGGTGAGAGGCGTGGTTGGTCCTGCCAGCGCGCGTATTTCGGGGAGTTGGTATCCAACCAGGGCCGCGGTCCTTGGGGGGCATGCACAGCGGGCCGCGCCAAGGAAGGGCAAGGGGGGGTACTATGAAACCCCAAAAGGAAGAGCTACGGCTGATAACCACTCAAACAGGCAAGAAACACCCAAAACCAGGAACGCGAGACCAAAGGGTTATTAGACCCCCTGCCCAACCCCGGCTGCGGCATTCAACTCCTTTTTTTTTGGCCAAATGTCCACATGCAAGAAAGTCAAACACTTGCTACAGACTAGCTCATGCTACCTGCCTCATGCTGACACCTAAGAAGTCCTTTAAGGTCTCCCTAGGTATGCACAAACATCGTAAAATGATGACTGAAATTCGGCTAACCTTCAATCTTGGGGAACGGAATTCACTCCTATCTAAATTGCTGTTTGAAATTGAAGTCAAGTTCAAACCAAATCCAACTTCTAGCGATTGCATTTCCTCACCGTTCTGAAAGAAAGAGTGGAGAGAGCAACTCTTGCAGTTGCTAGTTTAGTTAAAATCAAATTCAATGTTTTTTTTTTTTTAGGTTGATTGCCCTTATCTATCTCCATGTGGTTGAGCCAAGCGCCTCAATCAACATGGATCTGCTCCTTGACAAAAACAAAAAACAACAGATGTATTATCAGCAACTGTCAGATCAACTGCGCAGCGTAGTCATGTGTCCCTCAAAATCAAAGGTCAAACCGGGCTCCTCCCAGATCGAGCAAGAAGGGCCTCTATGTGTCAAAACATCAACAACTTCTGAAGAATTTACAAGTTCTTCTGGGCTGGATCCAAGATCCAAGATTGCACTTGGTAATCTTGATTTCAGGCCATCGCCAAACATTTCAAGCTTTTAGAACAAGCTGCGAGTGTTGTGCAACCGTTTCCCAGGGGGGGGTTCGCAAATGTTGCGCGAAATTTGGCACTTTTGCATATGATGTGCGAGATTCGTTTGCAATCCGCTGAGCCAAACAATGAAAACCGGCATCGGCCCCAAACAGCAGTTGCGCACATAAGTCAACAACCGCAGACAAGGGCAAGGCATTGCCTCACATAAATGGGGTGCAAAAAACACGAAACCACTAATTGTGTACACAACGGTTCCCGTCAAGTCTTGTCAGGGGAGAGACAAGTGGGGAGGCAAGCCGTGACAAGGTCCGAGTCACGAAGCATGAACCAAGCGCGAGCAGGCGGAGCAATTCTTTGCATGAATAGAGAACTCCGACAGCTGTCTGGGAAGCAAGAAGCAAAACCAAGAAACAAGAAAGGACCAGCACAAAGAAAACAAACAGTACTACAAACGAACTGTGACGATACGATTCGTGTCTGGCATTTTTCCCCCAGTCTACTCTGGAAACGTTTGCTAATTATTGTGGATGTTTTGAGGGTAGTGGGGCCAAAATGCGGGGAGGGGGGGGGGGTACCACACTTGTCTTCAAGTTTACCAACATATTCAACAATGTACATATATATATATATAATGTTTATGCGTACACATACTAGAACGAGAACTGCTCTTGAGAAGCGAGTTTCTTGCCAACGGTTTGGACAGTTGGGAGGCTTGCCCATGAAAGTTTGCTTGAGCCCGTGGCATTGGCTCGGGTGCTCTGGACAAAACCCTTGGATTTCAGGGGGATCACCGTATTTCTGCGGATGCACTGGCAGGACCTACCACAGTTCAGAAAGTCCAAAAGCTTCAGCCTTCAGCCAGGGGGGTGGTTTGGGGTCTATCTCAAAGTTCAAGCTGAATTGGCTTAGAAGGTTGGAGGCTTTGGTCTGAGCTGTACGCGCTAGTTGGGTGTTTTGAAATTTTGGTTGGGGGGGCCCGACCAGGTTTGTGCTCGCTTTAGCATGTTCAAGTCAAAATCTGAGTTGCCACAAGAGACGTGCGTTGCAAGAGGATCTGCTGAGCTCTTGGCGAGACTTGCTGTTTAAACCGCAAGGGGTGGTGTCCGAAGCTATCAAATCTGCAACGCAAGCAACCGCTATAAAGGGAACCCAGGAATGATAACCTTTGGTTGATTGACAGGGGAGTGTCCAAAAAGTACTTGGGGGGGAAGGGGGGGGGGCATCCCCAAATACTCCAGCAAGTTGATTGACTCGGGGTCCAGATTGGAGTATTGCAGTGCACGCCCAAGTGTAGCCCCAGTGTGCACACACGAGCCAAGCCAAAACCATCATCCCGCCATGGAAAAAGCCTTGCCAAACGGGGTCCCCATTTCTTTGCATACCCCCATGTGTACATTAAAATAACAGGGGGATCTTATGTTTGCCAGTAGGGTAACTTTGATGACGAACCCAGACCTCCCCATTTCTTGGAGTCCCTACCCTTTGTTAGGAAATATCTCCATGGGTTGGACCACCCTGTTGGATGCTTTGAATATTCACATTCGCATAGGGAACGTAGGGGACCTGGTCCCTCCGTACCTTCTTGCTCCTGGAAGGGACCTGTTTTGGGTACATCTACTGGGGTCACCATTATTGTACGAGTCCACATCTGAACAATCAGCCTAGAAATACAAGGCCCAGCAATGATGTTTTTTTCACTAGCAAACTTCAGCAGCTGACCCAAGTAGCCTAATGGGCAAGGTGGTGCTATTTCTGCCTTGAAGAAAGTGGCCAACCACATGGCCAGCGAAAGCACACAGCAATGATGGTGCCTGGGTCGACTTGGTTAAGCCTGCTCACCTGTCTGTTTTTAGCACCAAGCGAAAACACGTCCTTCACCCCCAGAGTACTCGAGGGGGAAAAGCAATGCATTCACTCCAATGAACCCACACCTCGCGCTCCACCCGACAAGCTCCGAACCACGAACCCACAGCTCCCCTTCCCCGCCTGCGAGAGCTGAACGGGGCCCAGGGCCTTGAGCACGTGCTGCACCTGGATTTCAGAAAACCTGACGAATTGGGATGCAAACATCATGACGAATTGGTGACCTGTTTGGACAAAGCAATCGATGGGTTTCCCGGCTAAATGGTTGATCAATCTGAGCCAGAGCCCATGTCCAAGCAATCCGACCTAAAAGGACACCCAAGGGTGTGATTTTCAACCCGCGGCCGATTTGTGGACTGGAAAACAGAAAGGAGGAGGGGACTGTTGGTCAAGGCGACTAAAATGGTCCAAACCCAAAAAGTACAAAGTCCAGCGAGTTAATAGGGGAGCCTTTGCTGGACATCATTTTGGGGCTTCGTGTCCACCAACCACTTAAAGCATTTATGTACAGTCACACCCAAGTTGCTTCACAAGCCGTGACCCACCTAGGTGGACCATAAATGGAATCTTTGCAAGCCCCTTGGGCCAGACTTGGACCCCCTGCAAAGAGTGTCAACGTTTTGTTGGTAAGGGAAAATGATGCTACGCCTGGCAATGAAACTCGGGTGTGAAGGCAGAAAAAGCGGCGTAAACCAGGTAGTTCTATTTGTTGTGGTTTCGTAGAAGAACAACAGGGTGTAAATTTAAACAAACAATGTCAAGAGTGTCAAAAACAAACCTAAACATGTACACAAAAATCGGGTGTGAAAAAAAAAACCGAGGTGCGTCCCAGTGGTTGCTTTACTCACTCGCTCAGCGCAACCTTTGTGTGAGCGTTCTTAGGGAAAGGGCGGCCCCTTCCCAAAGCAGCTGTTGTAGAATTGGGGAAACTGACCTCCCAAAAGAAACACACGTGCCAAGGCACTGTGTCCCTTTTTGGTTGATTATCTTCCTCTGCTCCAATCACATGTGCATTCTTTAAATCGACTTTCACGCCAGAGGGAGGCAGCATCTCCGGCATTTTTCCAACAGTTTGTCCGAAGCAACTCCCAGGCTTCCTGTGAGGGACTAGGCCTCCAAGAGCACCCAACCATCCAACCACCATCCCTCAGAAGAAGCAAACCTAGGCCCTCCTCCCCCCCTCAGCCAAACATGGGGATGTGGAACCTTCTTAAAACAACCGAACAGTTGTTGGATGCCCTGCATCGCGGTTTGGACTGGCACAAACCCTCCTGGACCTTCCACGTCCTTCTCCCCCTCGTTGTGCATGACTTGGGATGGACGAAGCCCTATGAATATCGTCCTTGCTGAGACGTGCCGCTGCCGCTTGGCGCCCCACCCCGCCGGCACTGGCAACGATGTTCAGCAGCTCCGTCACCGCGGCCCTGCGCTGCGATTTGGAACCCGACGCGTTCGCTTGTCAGGCGCGCCATAAACCAGCAAGCAAAGCCATAGAACCAAAAGATCCTCACCTTTGGGTCAATTCTACCTGAACCTCTCCTTGGCGCGGTGATGCATCAAGCTGGCGTATTAAGGGACCCTGGTCAAACCACGTGATTTGGAAACCAGGGGTTGGGCGCGAGTCAGCCTTCGGACAATGATAGAGCAAACATTGAGGCTGAACTGAAAGAGAATGAGAGACTTGGTCCAAAGTGCAGTTCACTGCATCGGTTTCCGCAGGCATCCCTCGCCTCCCCGATTTCACAGAACAACTCGGTCCTCTCGTGAAATACTTGGAGATTTAGTTTTGGTTTGCTAAGTGGGATGCTCCGTCCCCTCCAGGTGGACAGGGGAAGCCTGGGAAGCCCACCCTGTGTGAGTCGGCCAAGAGCCTCAGCTTCTTGTGGCCCTCGCCTGCCCCCGGTCTGCTCCACCAGGCCCTCGAAGATGAACTCCTCCCGCCGTTCCAGGGCACCCGCCTGGCAGAGATGCCCAGGGGCATAATTTTTAGACCTATGTTCGGTGTCCCTAAATCGACCAAATGGATCCCCCGAAAAGAGGCAGCAACATATGGGTATGGGTCAAAATTGTACCACCAGAAAACCGCAGGTTTTAGTCCTTGTTTCCTTTTCCAGGGTTCCGTTTTGGGTACCTATTTTTGACCCACACCCATATGGAAGATAGAACCCAATCCATGCCCGAGGCTAGCAGTCGATCAGGATTTGCGGTTGCAGTCTCTCCTCGCACTATAGGACCGTCCAAACAGAGCCCTCTTCTGGTCCCGTTTCTTCTGGAACACGAACCCTTGTCTTGCCCCCTTGCTTCCTTGTTTTTCTGGAAGCTCATATCCTCTGCCTTCAGCGCCTCCGGTTTTGGGATTCCATGTTCAAACGGTAAGGATTGCAAGCCACCCGAATCCAACCTGCACGCTCAATGAACATTTCGACAAGAATCAGGGCAGCCATTCCTAAATGGTAGCAGCCTTCCTGTGAGGTACCACACCATCCCGTCCGTATTGCAGCCCGTCACTCAGCCCTCCCGATAAATACTTGTCCAGAGTTCGGCCTCAATTCCCCACTGTGTCCAGCCAGAAGTGGTGAGGCCCGGCAGTGAGTCGGCACGGGCATTCCCTTTTCTACACACCGGGCCAATGACAGGCGGAAGCAGTCCCCCACGCTCACTACTACTGGAAATGAAAACTGATTTGGGGGACCCTCTGTTGGACACTTGCATGGAGATGCCTCCAATCATGTTGAGGGTATTGTCCAAAGTTCCTAGCCATGTGAGCCATGCTCAAAACTTCTTGTATGGCCTATGGTCATAGTTCAATAGGGATCATGATCATGGTTGTGAACGATCCTCACTACCAAGTGGATGACCATCCCCGTTAACCCCTAAAGAAAGGTGTATGGTGTATGGAACATGTGTTGCAGGTACCCAAACTTTGAGCCTCGCGCCTTGTGCGTCTCTGCCAGCTCATTGCTGGCCGCCAAGAATGCCTTCGCAAGGAAGCGCTCTTGGCATGATAGAGTGCTCTTGCCATCCTGCCAAGCAATGGTTTCCCCAACATGGGCAAACTGCGTCCTGCTTTTTGTGGTTGAATTTTGGCTTGTCCCCCCTGAGGTGTCGGCGTTAATCCACGCTTCAAGCTGCAGAATACACGACCCCAACGAAATTCTCGTCCGTTCAGCGTGGATACCTCAAAGGTGAATTCCTGGAACAGTCTTAAGGTTCCAAATCTGCAGTGGTGGCAACAGTTGCAATGTTTGAACCCGGCCTGACGCTGATGCGGGTAAAAAGCGAACGAGCCATGGTCAACAAGAGTTAGGATTGTCACAATGGGGACACAGTTGTTCCAACCCAAAAACCTGTTTTGTGACCTCCTGATTGACTTTGGCCCAACGTTCAGCTGTCTTAATTCTGGGCCCCTTTGTGTTTGCCGTGTTCCCTGAAGCAACAAATGCTGTCATGGTTGCTCGATTGGATCCATGTTCCCTAAAGCTAGAGGTTGGGACCAAGAATCTAAAGACCACGTCAAAAGGCACCCGCAAAGAGCAAATCATCTTCTGGCCGGGAGCGATGAACGCTATGTCTATGTCTGGGGTCAATCACATTGCTCTAAGTGAGGATGTGGGTTTGCAGGCTGCTCCGGAAATGACAGGTACCTCTTTGAACCTCCTACACTGGCTGCATCCATTCATCCAAAAAAGCTTGATCCTCAAAAGGTATGAATTTCAATTGGCTGGACCTTTCGCACATCAGAAATACATGTGTGGGATGCATGCAACCAGGTAACCACCCTGACAACATCAGAAATGCATGGCTCGATTTAGGCAACCAGGTAGCCGCTCTTTGCACATCAGAAACATACGGCGTTTCACCCATTGAAATTCACTTCTAGCGGCATTCCAACTTGTTTTTGGGGTCCTACACTTTTATGGCCCCGGCGTTTGCCCGCGCGAACCTCCAGCAGTTTCAACTGAAACCCTTGCTGGGTCCAGCCTGTGGGCCTCCCCACTTGCTCTCCACGTGCTCCTGCACGCAGCGTAATGAGCCAAATGGGAAACCCGTCATATCCCTGCTCGCTCGGGGACCCTGGTTTGCAACCCCGAGCCAATTTGCTGTTGGCATCCATGTTACTTTTAAAACACACCTGGCGTCAAAACAAGTTGGATTCCTGTGCATCAACCATTTAGGGCCTTCCAATCCAGCAAAGAAATCAGCACCCTACCGAAAGCAAATCCCAAATTCCCGAGCAAGTCAGTCCACCACCATGTGCCAGGCATCCGCCCTGGAGATGCTACCTGCCGTCGCCTGCAAGCAGGACCTGGCGCGAGCTTTTTGGACTTTCGCAGCATCTCACCCCAGAAACATCACACGAAACAGCCCGTTTGGACCCCAAAAGTCGAAAAGTCCCAACGGATTTGTCCTGTGATGAGTTTCTGTTGAGACTGGACGGGACCGGAGAAGGGACACGCCCAAGCCCTTCCAAAGCAGAAGGACAGATTTTGTCGGTTCTGGTCAAAGGGCACTCGGCTACCATCTGAGCGAGACACTCTTTTCACAGGGCTCCAAACAAACCTCCCTTTTTTGGACCTTCAGAAGTAGTAGTCCAGAGTAGGTTTTCTCACTTCTGCACGCATTTGTCACACACCCAGAAATTGCACCGGCTGAAAGGTTCCTTTCCCCACACAACATCACACAACGCGAGCAGGAAAGGGCAGGGTTTGTCGTTTGCCCAACGGTGACTTCTGTGGGGTCTTAGCCCATCCTGGCTTTGACCAGGAAAGGATGCAAATTTTGAGACTACACCCAAGGTGGACTTAAACCCAGAGTTTACCCTCTCGCAGTCAACAATAAACACATGAAACCCCATGCGGTCCCGTTTCTTCCATGCCAACCCTGACACCAAACCCCCAACACGTTCAAATGTCCACAATTCCAATCATTTCCCGTTCCAAATCTGGGCAAAGGTTTCCTTTTCCAAATGTTCTACTAGGTTCTTCAGTGGAGAGGTTAGAATAACGGTACCCTTCTTTTCTGTAGTCTATTTTAGTGGAACCCTCCCCCAAAAAAAGGGTAGAAGGGCACTGGGGGACCAGGGTCACCCCCGAAAGGCGGGAGACGGCATTTCCTGGAGCCAACCGCCCCTAGCGCCAACGGCTCTGAGGCCGCCGGCTCCTTGTGCAGCCCCGCGGCGCGGGCCATCAGCAGCGCGGGCCGCAGCGCCTGCGGCTTCGTGTTGGGCGCGTCGGATGGCCATGGGTCAAAATCCAAATCCCGGTTGGCCCCCAGCGAACATCCGATTCAACCCCCGCGAAAATAGGCTCTAACATGGGTGGCGAATTCGCCTAACCCACAATGGTACCATTGGTTTTGACCCACAGCCATATGGCCTCATGTTGCAGTAGGATAACAGAACGCACGCAACGGTTTCATAAAAAACAAAAAATGGACTAGTTGGGGTTGGGGCGTTAGGATGGTTAAGACAAATTGGCCGCGAGCCCTATGGTTCGGAGTTGCTTGGATGAGGAGAAGTTCGGGGGTTGGGGCTTAAGATCCAGCAGGAAATGGGCGTTTGGGAAATGCTTGGCGCTTCGAGGAATGGGTCCATGATGTTTGTGGGATCTGCGCAGAAGGCTCTGCTCTGTGCAAATGGAAGTTGCTCTGTGCAAGATACTCCGTGCAAGTTAGCTCCGCGCCAATAGCTCAATGCAATTGACTCTGTGCAAGTGGCTCCGCGCGAATGGCTCTGCGCAAATTAGTAAGGGCTCTGTGCAGAAGAACCCTTCGCAATGTTTTCGGGAAAGCAGACGCCCTTTTGTAAACTTAGTTCGCAAGCCACTCTGGCTTCCCTGATTACAGCGGCCTTGCTTGCTAAGGGCTCTTTTGGTTGTGTAGGATTCCCTGTTTCCTCGCTTTCTCTCATGGATGTCTAAAAATGGACCGACAAGGCGACTCCAACAAGAGGTTTCAGGATACGAAACCCCGCAACAAAACACATCCAATCCGTTTTTCAAATGTGTGATTGCCCTAGAGAAACACGCTTTAAAGCTGTTGCACTCCTGGTTGGAAGTTTGCCCCATGAAATACAACAGTTTGCTTCACAGCGAGATGTATTTACCCCGACCCGCCGCCGACTGGCCTTCAAGTCAACTCCCTGCAGCGAGCTGAACAGAACCTCGAGGTGTCGTGCGACATTGCATTCAAAAAGGGGTACCCATTTCATAACCCCAAGATTCAGCCACTGCAGCTCGACTTGCGATTTGCGCCACTAAGGATGGCTCAGAAGCACCACCGGCATCCGCAAGCTTTGATAGAAACTCCTGGCATGAAAATGTCAGACTGCAAAGGGGAACAATCTTGATGCACTCAGGATTCCTGAAAAGAAATACCTGTCCTGCTTTGGTCTCCTGTGGGGGAATTCAAATTTGCGGGCTAGACCCTGTTTCTTGTGAAGCTTTGCAATGCCAACCCTGGCCAGCAATGCGCCAAGAGCGGCCCGTCCTGCCGAATCACGCTGTCGGACGACGCACCGATGAACTCAGCATCACCTCTTGCGGAGCGTATGGCATTGCCCACATTGTTCGAATAAAGTGTTTGATTTGTAGCTCTGCAAGATGTTGGTTTGAACCCTCTCACATGAAGGCTGCGTACACTGGCTGGAGAAATCCTGCACTCGCATGACAAACTGCACGTGCCGGTAGATACAGCAGGATCTCGTCTTTGGTAGAACCACCACTCGAAGACCCCGTCGAGTCTAAAGCTTTCAAGCCCCGTATGGAAATCCACCTTCCATCCTTCAAAGTCAAGCTCAGCGGATCCAACAAATATTCCTACATATGCTCTAAACCACCAGAAGGAGACGCACACCAAAGAAGTCAGTGTTCGGGGGGTGATTCAAAGGGAAAAAGCCACTGTTCTTTTTTAGCGAAACTTCGCGAGTGAACCATGTGCCCTCAAAATTCAGCATCTGAGCTGCGCGGCGACCGGTAATATTGCGTGACACAGGCAGATAGCCCGCGTGACGGCCCGAAGGAAAAAGAAATCCTGCTGCACACCTTCCGTAGCAAGGCAGCGACTGCCTTGCATTACAAGCACGCTCTGCGGAACCTGTGCTGCTTGCAGTGTCTGTGCACGGAAATGCCAAACAGCTATCCCGCCATGTGGCGAGAGACAGCCAATTGACAAGTATTTCACACACGACTACTGTCCGTGCACTGCCGAGCACAACACCCTTTGCGGGCGTCACAACCAGACTGAGCACATCATCTCCGCTTGTGCGGGTTGCGCCGCATGAGGACTTGGATGTCTGCTCGGCCTGGTATTTCAGTGGGATTACGCGGGTACTGCGAAGCACACCCCGTTGCGTGTCGTCTGCTTTTTTGGTTGCGGGTATCGCCATCAAACTGAGAGCCAGTAGACATTGCGCGTAACTACGTGGCCACTTGCCACACTTGGTTGGCATGACATAGTCTGGGCAATGAACGGATGCACAACCACAATCTCGAAGTGTCAATGCACACCCAATCAACGCACACTTGTTAGAAATAGGAGTACCAGAGTCAATACCTCCAGTAGACATCGCCTGCAGTGGCGTCGCGGTTGTGACCTGCGCGTTAAAAAGCCAACAGGAGACCACGCCACGCTGCACCCCGTTTCTTGCAGCTTTGTGGTAGTGCCAGGGTGTGAGGAATGCCACTGTCAGATACATTGACAAAGTCATAGGCCACATAAGAGCCGGCAAGCCGAGGCCCTTGTCCGATTGGAAGCCATGCCCATGCAAACCTCCATGACCACCCGAACCATCACCTCCCATTGCGAAATGTCCATCATGGACAAGTAGTTCCTCATCTCATCTCGGCTTTGTCGCTTGATCGCTTGCCCGAAATCAGTCGGAACAGCACTACCAGCTGAAAAGTTCTCGGGCCTGTGTGTGAAATACCCCGGGCCCCGAGACCCCTAAGCCAACATCCCATGCTTTAAAACATATTTGCGAAATATGGGTTTGTCTCCCTACACGGGCTTCAGTTTTTCTTGCATTCCCAAAACACGGACCCCAAAAACATCAGCTTGAAACCATGTGTAGTCCACCTTAACGCCAAATCATTTTCGGGTCGACATGAATGGGGTGTCCCCACCAACAAGCATGGAAGTGGAAGTGCACAGACCCTTTTGGGAGGCTAGTTTCTGCCCGCCTGCAGTCGCCAGGAAGCCAATGAGGCCTGTCGCCTCAAGGCAACGTGCACTGTTTGGGCCGGTCCCAGGCTTTTAAGGGCATTCAAACATGCGAAGTGTCCTTTTCAAAGCCTTTGAACCTCTCCCCCACGTGCTAGCAATACCCACTTTTAATTCAGGGTGTATTTGGTATTTTTGAAAAGGTGTCCACGATGTCTGATATTTGGAGAGGGCCCAAATGGGTATGGCCCCAAAAACAGGGTTCACCCTCAAACAGCAAAATACACACACACACACACACCCGAACGGATCCCCACCAGCCGACTCTCCAAACTCCGAGCTGGCGGCGTCGAGGTGGGACTGGCGCATGGCCGCGGCCAGCTCTTTGCAGTGGCCTCGCGCGCGAGGCCAGGGGTCAAAATCCCGTACCCCCAGTGAACATCCCAATCCTCACTAAAATAGACGAAAATGGGTTGTGCACCTATCCCAAAATGGTACCATTGGTTTTGACCCACAGCCATGTTGGGCGGACCGACCAACCAACCAACCTACCTACCTACCGACCGACAGACCAACCGAGCAACTGACCAACCGACCGACCCAACCAAGCGACCGACCCAACCAACCCACCCACCCACCCACCAACCAACCCACCCACCAACCCACCCACCCACCCACCCACCCACCAACCAACCAACCCAAACAACACACCAACCAATGTTTGGTGTTTCACAACATGGATAGCCTTCCTCTCACCAACAAACAGGGAAGTGCACAAACCCCAGTTTGCATACCTTCTTCTTGGCAAATGGGGTTCCTGGGGTTCCTACTTGTGGTGTCCCCCTTTGAAAATTGGGGGGGCAGTATGCCTGCTTACCGTCTGTTCACTAACTCTGGAAGTGGGCAAGGAGCCTTTTCAAAAGGAGGGGCGCCATTGGAAACTTCCAGAAAATGTTGCAGGCCAGAGCCCAAAACACCCAAGGCAAAGGTAACTCCATACGGGTTCTCAAACAAGGGCAACCCCAAAATGGATGGTCTGCTTCAAGTTCCAGTCTCACTGCCCACCAGAAAAGGGAAGAAGTGTCCTTCCAATGTTTAGATCCACTTAAGTGGATGTGTCCCTCAAGCAAAGTGTGAGCGTGCCAAAAAGTCGGATGTCCCTAAAATGTTGCTTTTTCCTCTTGGGTGTCCGTTTAAAACTCCCAAAAAACGCCACGCCAAATGTGCGTTTCGCAAAGGGGAAAGCGGTGCACATAGGTGGTTTATTTGGGGCTTTCCGTCAAGCCCCATCCTTCTGAGAAGAATACAACTTAAGCCTGGCATGAAGCTCACGGATGAAGTTTTGCCAGAAGTCAAGGGCGCCCATTCAACTGAGCCTAAATGGTACAAACTTTGCGCCAGTAAAGGACTGGATTGTCGCAGCGCCAAGCCAACATCCCCAGCATCACTGGAGGAGAAGGGTCAACATCATTAGCATCATTGCACCAGCCTGCACCACTAAAGAAGGGCCAACATCAACAGCATCACCGGCTGCAGAGACATGTATGTGGCCACGATTTGTTTGGCCGCTGTGGAAGAAACTCTGGGCAAAAAATACTTGTTTTCACAAACCCGAAATCAGAATTCCTAGCGGCGGACCTTCTTCAGGTTTCGCAAAGCTTTACCCCGGATGGCTGCGCTGGTTCGAATTTGAGCGGATTCATCCAAGGTTATAGTGCAGATAACGACAACCAGCTATGTCCGGCAGCGGTGGAAAGAATACCCGGTTTCTACTTTGCTGGGAGAAATAACCAAACATGGCTTGCTATGTTGAAGTTGCGCAAGTACCCCACCCCATACTCATTGGGTGGATACTTTAAAGCGAATTTGCCATTCATTTACAGCCAGGCCAGCCATAGGCCTCAGTGACCCGCCTGCTGCGAATTGTAGCAATGGTGCCAGACGCCCTGGGCCTCCCTCTTGCGCAACTGCGTCCACCAGCTTCGACCAAGTGATCTTGGTCACCTTAAGCCCGAAATCTTGGCCCCAGCCTTCCAATGATGGGAGCGGCTGACTTCAAAACCTGGATCAAGCAGTACTTTGAAAAACCTGAATGTGAATAGGAGGTACCTGACCAGCTTCTTAAAGCAACCCTCTGGTGAATGAAAACTGGTCCTCTGGGTTTCCTACATGTCCCTTTTCAACATCTCAAAAGGAAACTCACTCAAAGATTGCCTTCATGTGCAATTGGACCCCGTGTGAGAGCACAGGATTGGCAATCCCCTTGAGTTTGATGGGTCAGAATCTGACGGTCTACAAAAAGATCCGAGGTCAACGCGAAAAACGTGGTGAGATGTGGTTGGTCGCTTTGCATTTGGTTGGGTTTGTCTCAAAATTCGGGGGACACACAAAATGGTTGGTGTCCTGGGACACCGGCTCCTTCTTGGGTCTCCTTCCGGCGAGTCACACTTCCGGCGCGCGCCATGATGCCCACTGCATTGGACAGGTCGAAGACCTGGTGCTCGTTCAACGCCACTCCGGCCAGCGACTCCTAGGGCGTCCAACAAAAATGTCTGCAATGGGCCCATTTGATCGACCAACAAAATGGCTTGCTTTTCCAAGAGGACATGGCTAGTGAGTTGTCTGGGACATATTTGGGTGTCTTTGTTGTTGAGAGGGTGCCCCTTTTGAGTTTCTGTTCGATGCAGCGATCAATTCGGATGGAAGGAGAAGCAACCCAAACAAGACAATGCTAGGGGAATGATTTAAAGGGAAAAATCAAAAGAAGCCCAGCACTTTGCGGGGTCCTAATTCTCCCATTTAAGCAACAGTCAAATTTGCTTCCTGGACCTGGCAAAATTGGAGCGCCACCTGTTTGTTGTAAAGACTTGGGGCGTCCCTCCCAAACGGACCATAGACTGCTAGATATGTTTACTGCACCTCATTTCAGGGTTGTCTTGAAATTGATTCTAGAATGGGTTGTTTCCATTTGAGCTCCCTTTCAAACGACCCATGTTAGTGGGAGGAAGGGTCAAAGAAAGACCCGCCCATTTGGAGCTAACCCGCTCCTGGATCTTGGCGAACAAGCTGGGCATGCGCCGTTCGGCGCCTGGCCCCAGCAAGGCGTCCCGCAACGTATGGTCCTGCATATGGCCCAAGGCACGCAGGCGATGAATGAAACTTACCATAGAAGTTTTGAGGGAATTGGAAAAAGCAAAAAACCGGTGGCAATGAGGGAACCAACCCCAGCTTCATCCCGATTCTGACTTTGGTAAAGATTAGCAGCCAATACAAGGGCACACAAGGGGGAAGCTTGATTTAGACAGAAACAAAGACCCCCCATCAGTGAAAGGTCCTTCTTCGAACGGGTCTTAGAAAGGTCCTGAGAGCCTTTCTGGAGGCACGATTTACTCTCTCCTTCCCCTGAAAGACGGGAATCTCGGCATGACATCCTAATTTCAATCTGACCGTTCACTGATATGTCTAGAAAAAGATTGCCATGTGGGGTTGATCATTGCCGTTCCCCTTCAAAACCAACAGGGCCAAACCAAAATCACAGCAAACGGAAGTGGCTGACTCAGAGCTTTCCTCTGCTCATGGAACATATACTTCCACGGCAAAATTAGGTGCTTTAATTGTTGGTTGGCCTATTGAGTAAAGGGAGGTACCCCACGAAAAGGCACACCCCCCCCGTTACGCATCACAAGTGTAGATCGAGCAGCCCCGCCGCTCTTTCCACTTCCCCGCACCTACTTTTTGTCTGCGGAGCATCCCTTTATCACTTACCCTCCTGTCGACGTCTAAGCTTTCGGTTCATGTCGTCTTAAGGGCGCCCCACCTTCAGGCACTCTCTGCACCTGCATCTGATGCCGGATCCCCAGTACAAGACCTTTGTTGGATAGATGCGTCTGCACTGGCTACAGACACACATCGGCCAGCCTCTTGGGGGCTTCTCTGACACTCCGTGGCCTTCAAATTTGATTGATGGCTCCATTGAACATCGGATGCACAAGGACTGCTGCTTGTCAGACGGGAAAAGGTCTCCGCAGGACTTGCAGGTCAACTCCCGCCAGTCTCCCAGACTTTCTGTGCTCTTGGATGCCGGCACCAACCAGCGCACTTCTGGCTCCAACGTCTCACGACTCTCTGGAAACTTGCGGCAGAAGTGTAGCGCTCTGCGGACAACATGGGCCCTGACATCTTCGTCCACCAAAAGGTTCAGCAGTTGGAGCGGGCTCAAGTGCTTCAAGCGGTCAAAGTCTTGTAGGCTGATAAGACCCTGCCTGCACGAGTCCACGACTTGCAGGCAAAGCTTGGCCCACCTCTCAATTTTCCATGCCTCAATGGTGCCGCTGTGCAAGCGGAACTCTATGGTTCTGATTGTCCGATCCTCAGATGGAAAATTGATCGTGTGATATTTGCCCTCAGGATTCCATGCATTCTTGACAGCAGGCTGCCCCACTTGAGAGAAACACTTCCTTTCTCTCCGCCACTTCCAATTTTCCCAATTCTTCTTGGTACCAATGGGTTGGCAATGCGGGTTCTCTCTCCTGGACGGGGGAACGGCTGCCAAAAGCAAAGGTTCCAACTTGGCGCAACACGTAGCCAGCGTCCTGAGTTTCTCAGCTGACAGCCCTGCTGAGTCAACATGCACGTGAAAACCGCAAGTCTTTGTTGCAGCCCTTGACTTATACCTGCAATGTCATCAGTTGCGCCTTTTCTCCATGACATCACAGGTGAAGACAGCTCAATGGGCATACCGACCTCTTTGTCTGTCAAGCTTGAATCTCGCTGAATCACCCAGTTTGTCAAGCACAACCTCCGATCTTCGTCGCGCCTGGACCAGGTGTTGCCTTCGGGTGAGCAACAAGCAAACTCTCTCCCTGCATATCGAAGTTGTGTGGCTATATTGTTGGAGGCTTTCTCTGCTAATACCCGGGCCACAGCCTTCCTGCCGCCTTGTGTCGCGTACATGGCACATAGAATTCCAACTCCAATCCCACGCTTAAGCGGGTCCAGGCCGAGCTGGCAGCTGCATTAACACGAGGAAGGCGCATCGATCCCCTCATACCCGCAGGTAAAAGGGCTGCACAGCCAGATAAAGAGCAAAGTATTGGCTCCACACTGCCACAGGGTGTGTTCACAAAAGGAAGACGGGAGACGCGGAGCGGAGCTCTTCTCCGCAATGAGCGACCCGGCTTCGTCTTGGGCCAGCCAACAATGGAGACACTGCCACACAGCAACGCCAGGGGTGACTCTTCATCCAAAAAGGGGCCACCGGAACCCAGACCTCCAGCCACGGCCATTTACATCAAAATCCCAACTTGGGATGGCCTCCCTAAAAGTTTTTGGGGCGGATGGGCCTCCCCTTGGCTCCCTTAGACAACCCGGCTCCGAACCCTCGAAGCTCCTGGCTCTGACCCTCGAAGATCCCGAGGGCTGCCAGCTCCTGGGCGTGCCCAACGACGTCCCCCAGCTCGATGCCCTCCGCCGGGCTCACGAAGCGTTCGACGCTTCGGCTCGCTACGAACGAAACGGTTTGGCGCGGGAGGCTGGGAGCGGGCGAGGGCACGGCACCAAAAAGAGCGCAGCGCGGCGACCTCTCCTCATTTCGAGAAGCCAGTCCCGCGGCTTGCCTTCGACACAAAACGGCCTCTCCTCTCTGCCCAGGCGACTCAACCCCTTTGCACGTGGCAATGAACTACTCTGATCCCTTCATAACCTCTTTCCGGATTCGGGTCCTGCGTCCCCACTTTCGCGATGTCACCCTGCTTCACCGTGGTTCCAAACATATGGCCAATGACAAACCCACTTCCGACCTTCCGACTTCCGACTTGTGGCCCTCGTCGCGGCCTGCAGGCTGCTGTGCAAGGCCTCCGCGCCCCCGGCGCCGGCCACCAACTTCACCACCTCGCGAGACCGCTCCCGCTCACTGCGTGGAACGAAACAGCCGCAAGCTAAAGGAAACCGTTCTGCAATTGAGATCATCTTTTGAACTGGTTAGTATCCACCGAAGAATCGCTTGCAATACAAATATGTTCCCAAATTATGAGACTCCTAGAACGCTGTGCCAAAGTCGGGTTACTCTCTCTCTCTCTCTCTCTCTCTTTCTTCTCTCTCTCTCTCTCACTCTCTCTACTTTGACTGTCCACGAAACGAGTTGGGTTTGGGAGACCCCTGGTGCTGGCTTGCGTTGCCTTTGTTGCGCCATCCCAGACCTCTGGGCAAACAAGGGCATCCCGTTTGTACTTGACTTTGAGCCTCCACATTAAAATAAGACAGTGGTGATTTTCAGGGAACTCCAAGAAATCTTGAAAGGCCACGCCGGTCGCCCAAAGCCCGCCTTCTGCCAGGAGTCTGAGTCCAGTCGCCCGGTGTCCTGCACGCCGTGGGGCTATGTTCGTGTGGGCGGTTTCCCCAAGTCGCAGCTGATACATCATTTGCATCACTTCACAAGTTTGGGACCCTCGACCCTGTTTAAAGTCGAACTTACCAAAAATATTACTAGGAGAACATCAGTTGAACTGGAGACAGCCATCGCAAGCAACAAATCATTGGCCCCTACTGTTGGACTCTTCACTTGTGATCATCCTTTTCTTCCTGGTACTCCAACTAGCAGCAACTCCGCGCCAAGCTTACACACCACATTCAACGGGGCTCGTGTCTTCCGCATTTGCTGCAAGCGGTGAATGTTGACCATTCTGAATGAATGTCATACGTGGGCAAACAAACAAACAAACAAACAAACGAGCAAGCAAGCAAGCAAGCAAGCAAGCAAGCAAGCAAACAAGCAAACAAGCAAACAAACAAACAAAACATATGTGCATATATGAAAAACATATGAAAATGTGTTTACATTTGTGCGGTTGTCTTCTTGGAGGGTAATCTCTTGGGAAACCTTTTAGAAAGGAGCGCAACTACAAATGCACACCACCCGTCTTTGGCAGGGGGGTGGCGCCGTTTTGAACTCAAGAGTTTTTCTCCGCCTGGATGGCTTTCATCACCTGGCAGCCCGGCACAAAGGTCTCCATGTTCAGATCTTCCAAGGCTTCAACCACCTTCTGCACACCTCAGCGGGATGGGTAATCGGGCAAGTGACCCATCTGTGTTTCGGGGACTTGTTCATAATTTCCTGCCTCTCTTGCAAGGGTGCGTGAGTCACGTGCCCTAAACCAAGGGCGCGGCACATGGCCCCGCGAAAGAAGTTGCTGTTCCTTTAAAGGGACCCTCTTAGGGCGTATGTACGTAGGTACCCAAAAAGTGGGTAATCAGGGCCAAGGGCTATGAACAAGGGGTGTGCACTTCCACTGCAAGAAACGTGCACCAGTCCGCCCTGCGAGGAAAACAAATAACACACACGCAGCGTGCAAAAACAGGGCGGAGGGCGTGCGGCTGCCTTGTGCAACCTTCGAAACTTGGCAAATGCCCATATATGCCCCATATATGGCCAGGTCCGAAACCGGACCCAAAAGCTATGGACCATCCACACCCCGAAGAACGAAAGCACTTCCCCAATGCCCATGCTTCAAATGTCCACAACCAAAACTCGGCTTGTGATTTAAACGCGCGCCGCACTTTTCTGCCCGCCTCCGGCATCCTCCACCTTGGCGAAGAGCTTCCGGCGCAGGTCGAGGCCATTTTGGTCGCCGGTGCCCAGCAGGCCTTTGTCCTCCGCCTCCTCCAGGTACCGCGCCCAGCCCCCCGCCGCCACCGCCGCCTCGCCCAACTTCTGCAAGGGCGCCTCCTGGTTGCAACCCCCAAACCACCACCCCACAGCATTTCATGGGATACACTGACGTACAATAGAAGGGGTAAATGCCAACAATTTTACCCTTGGGGCAGCTTGGTAGTGGAAACTATCTTGGTCACATGCAAAGGGAGGCGTCGAAATGCTCAGGGGCCCTCAAAAAACACACACACACAAGCGGACACACACACAGACGTCATTTTCACTCAGTCCTCCTCCCTGAGCAAGGCCTCTGCGAGCGAGGGCAGTGGCACTGGCAGACTCAGATCCCCGAGCACGGAGACCTCCCCGCTGACCGCGTCCACGGCACGTACCGCCCAGCGTGCCGAGTCGCCCGCCGGGGGATGCACCAGGCACTCAATAAGTCCCCCCGGCAACTTTCGGATCCAGAAGGGATAAGGGTATCGCCAAACTCGGCACGGGTGCTTTTGGTCCTCATCTGGCCAGTGCGCGATTTCGCTCTCATCCTGATCCTCTTTCTTCTCTTCCTTGTGCGCTTCTCCCTCTTCACTCTCCTCATTGTCTTCATTCTCTTGATCCCAAAAGAGTTCGTAGTCCCAGGGGCACACTCCGAACCACGCGGCATTCGTGAACGGTTCCTCCCCCTCGGATGTGTGCCACCGCAACGTCAGGGAGCCTCCCAGCCCCTGGCTCAGCAGGAAAGCTCTCCCAGGCTGTGGGGGCGCTGGGCGTGTGGGCATCGTCACCTCAAATCCCAAATGACGGGCCCCACGTTCAGCTTGTTTGGTTTGGAGGTTGAGGCTGCCCCCCACCCCCCGCATTGACTCCAACATTCAATTCCTCAAGCTAATTCAGGGTTGCCTGCCTCTTGGCAAACAAACAAATAGAAAAAAAAACACCTTAGTGCCCAACAGCCAGGGCAGAAAAGGAGTCTTCTAAAGCCCTCCTCTTAAAAAATCAAATGCCCATGTGAAATACCAGCTTGTAGTCAGGGGTTGATATCATTCCTTTAAAGATGCTGTTTGGAGTAGATGGTATCCGTCCGTTTTTGGCCCGCATCGTCTCACCTCCACGGTGGGCGACGCAACGCTGACGGTGGACGCCAGGGACACGGAGCGCTCCGGGGACATAACCCGTGGCGTCACCTGTGTTCCGAAAGCTTCACAGCCACGGTCAAACAGGGCTCCTTCGATACATCCAAAACACTTGCTGGTCCTCCAACTCTGATGTTTGCACTAGCAATGTAGAGGTTCCCAAAAGGGGCATCGGAACATCAGGCCCAGTTGTTTTTACTTTTGGTGGTGGTCCTGAAACAAGAAAAGCCGAGTTCTGGAGATGGCTCTTAGGGGTAGACCCCCTTTCTTGGCGTTCCATGCGTTTCATGTCAATTGGCACGGGACAGCGCGGCGTCGGCATTCCCTGTTCAAAAAAATGAGCCGCTGTTGCTTGATTCTGAAAGGCAAACCAAGATGGTTAACCGTTTGGAGGCGTCTTCCCAGAGCCGTTCAGAGTGTGCGGCTTCCATCACATCAAGGTCATGGGAAGATTGGTGAGTCCACTGGGCTTGCGGGGCAATCCCAAAACAAAAACCACGGGTCTCCGATCTCCCCCGTTGGCTCTGCGTTCGCCTGGGGTGACACGGCGGTGGGCTCCGAGGTCAAGGAGGCGCTGGAGGCCCTGCGCCGCACGTCCAGAACCGCGTGGACCTGGAACTGGTACCGCGCCCCGGGCAGCAGACCCGAGACCTCGGGTGAGTTGGGCGGTAATCAGCTGGCAGCTTCCCAGGTGGTGTCCGTGGTTGGTGGTGGGTTGAAATCAAGTGCCTTGACTTGGGTCCCCAACCCATCACAAAAGGGAAAAAGACAAAGGGTTGGTGGTTTGAAGAGATCCGGGTTGCTCCCCCCCCTCTTTGATAAGCTGATTCGGATTGGTTTGGATTGGTGGTAAGGCAAGTGGTGGCTTCCCAAGCGTAGCCTCGGTCCAAAGGACGAATCTAACTAAAAACTGGCTCTTGGTAGTTTCCAGCATAAACAGGTAATTTTGCAAGGGTTGGTGTTGTTCACTTTTTCTGCGCGAGAATGCGCGTGTGCGCCTACATCACGAGTTGTTCTTGGCTCTAGCCTGTTCGTCATGTTTTTGCTGTACATTCCCAAACGCAACCTGCCTTGTTGGAAATTTGGGGAGTCTTGCCTAATTGACAATGGGACTACGACAAATTTTGAGCAAACCTCATGTGTGGGCGTGTGTGGGTGTTGATGTTGCATCTTCCCCGTATGGAGCCAATATCAAAACCCGGGTAAGATGAAGAATCCCAACCAAATTCTGAGCGGCCTTTTGATTGTGGGCTTTGCCAAACATTCCTTGCACGGGGCGCGTGATGGCTCTGAAACTTGGCCACCTTCTTCTGCACGTGGGACCAGCCCAGGGTCTCCTCCCCCATGGTGGACTCCTCAACGTCCAAGTTCAGCGCTCGGCCGCGGATGATGTGCTTCATCGGGGCATCTTTGCCGCCTGCCAACGGCCGGCTCACGACTCGCAGCCGCGTGTTTTATGTTGCTTGTCTTGAATGTGTTTGTGTCAGTATGTAACGTTTTCTAATGTACTGTGATGCAATGCAATGCAATTCAATGCAATGCAATGCAATGCAATGCAATGCAATGTAGTGTAACGGAATGGAATTGAATGGAATGGAATGCCATGGGTTTTTCAACCTGCCTTTCCAAGGGCTCTTCACGGACGAGGGGATTTCAAGCCAAAGCCCTTTGTGGTCAGACAACATAGCGGACTCTTCAAGCCCCAAGAAACTGACTGAGTTCGTAACCGAAGTAGACTGAACCGCCCAGTCCATTTCTCGGGCACCTTCCCGTCTCAGAGGCAACTACTCTACCCCCGAAAGCACGGGGGAGCTCGGCCGTTTTGGGATTTGGTTGAAATCTCCTAAGGCCAACCATTCCGAATTAGCAAGGTTGTGGGTCTCCCAGAAGGCTCCCAGACCTCTCGCACGCAACCCCATCGTAAAGGTGGGCGTAACATTCAAGAGAAGGACTTCCTGAAGCCAAACAAGGAGCTGCACCCCGAAGTGGCTATGGTGGTGCGCCCATCCCCGACGAACACTCTTGTGAACCAAGGTGGCGGCACCGCCTCTGGCGATGTGCATTTGTATGTGTATATATGTGTATGTATATGTGGGTGCATGTGTGTATGTAAAATATGTATATGCATGTATATACATGTCTATGCAAGTATTCGCCATGCATATGAATGTATATGTTTGTATATGCACATATATGTATGTACATGTATGTGTACATGCATGTATCTGACTGCATGTCATGTATATGTATGTAAATGTATAAATGTATGTGTGTGTATGTATGGATACTTATATAAATATATGCATATGTATGTGTGTGTGTGTACGTATAACTACATATGTTTGTATAAGTATGTATATACATATATATGTATGTATGAGTATGTGCGGTTGTGTGTGTGTGTGTGTGCATGTGTATGTGTATGTATGCATGCATGTATGTATGAATGCCTGTATGCATGTATGCATGTATGTATGTATGTATGCATGTATGCATGTATGCATGTATGCATGTATGCATGTATGCATGCATGTATGTGTGTATTCATGTATGTATGTATGTATGGATGTATGTATGCATGCATGCATGCATGCAAGTATGTATGTATGTATGCATGTATGTATGTATTATGTATGTATGTACGTACGTACGTACGTACGTATGTATGTATGTATGCAAAAATGTATGTATGTGCGTATGTATGTACGTATGTATGTATGTGTGTATGCATGTGTGTATGAATGTATGTAAGTATGTATGCATGTATGTATGTATTATGTATGTATGTATGTATGTATGTATGTATGTATGTATGTACGTACGTACGTACGTACGTATGTATGTATGTATGTATGTATGCAAAAATGTATGTATGTACGTATGTATGTATGTGTGTATGCATGTGTGTATGCATGTATGTAAGTATGTATGCATGCATGCATGCATGTATGTAGGTATGTAACTATGTATCTATGTATCTATGTATCTATGTATTCTTTCTTTCTATCCATCTATCTATCTATGCATGCATGCATTGATGTCTGTAAGCATTGCATATATATATATATACATATATACATATATATATATATGTAGGTGTAGTATCCCTTGAATACCCCAGGCCCAGGCCCATATGTATGCCACTAATATGATCTGCTAGGTTTTTAAGAGTGCCCAAACCGGCGTGCATGTCAGACACACGAAAAAAGAGACCTTGTATTTCCCCGCAGCGTCCAGCTTTGGAGTCCAGTATCTCTGTTACCTGGAAAGTGTCCGTGCGACCATTGTTTCCGAGATCGCTGTACTGGCAATGTCCCAGTGGTGTTTGGGTGATGTCCCAGTGGTGTTCAGTTGTGTTGTGGCGGTACACACAAGCAAATGTGGGACAAACCAAAGTCGCAAAGCCCACAAATAACAAACAAAACAAAACAACACGTCAGCAACCATACTTGGGATTGAAAAGCCCGAGAAACCTCAAAGAAATCCTGGGAAAATGAAGCAAAACACCCAAGGGTGTCAAGCACATGTTGAGGGTTGTCATGATTGCTGAACTTTGTTTGTTTGGGTTTTTGGGTGTCCTCGAGGATTTTGGGTTTCCCGTCACAAGTATGATTGTTGTTTGATTGTTATCTTGTTTTTGTAGTAATGGTATTGGTATCATTTGATTGTGTTTATATCATTTTTAGAGTAATGATAAGAAATAACAATAAGAATTAATCACAACAATAACAAGAACACAAAATGTTAAAGTACATCATCAATGTATGTCTGTCATAGATGTTCTTAGATGTTCTACCCGTTTTGGCCTTCCCATTTTCCCGCCTGGTGGCTCCCAGACCAGGCGCAGGCTGCTGGGCCCCACAGAGGCCTCCTCCACCATGAGCCGCGAGGGCGCGGCCGGGCACAGCTCGAACCGCGCGGAGCCGCCCAGCTGCTTCCCTCGGAGATCTTCGATGGATCATTTCAAGACCCCGAGTGTCCAAAGGGGGGAGCGGTGCCTTGCTTGAGGTTGGGCTAAATGGAAACCCCCCCAAAAAAACAACACGATTTTGTTTAGGTATGGCTCATGTCAAAGAGATATGGACCATTAAAACATGCTGGATTTGGTCCTTTTGGTTTCCTCAAAGAAGGTTATGCTTCTAAGCATGCTCGGGAAAGGAAATCTATGAGGGAATGGGAGGCGGGGGGTTTTCTCACTTGGACCACTTGAATCATTGTCAGTCGGATCAAAGGGACCAAAACCTCCAGGTTGGTTTCCTTTGGGCTTCCCTCAACAAAAACGGTCCAAGGGGTCCAAGCACATTGAGAAACACCAGTATGTGTCAAAGGGGAAGCCAACAAAAATTGGTGGTGTCCTTTAACAGTCTAAACAAGCGCATAAGACAACCAGCTACCCGAGTGATTATGGTTGTAACGCAGCTGGTTGGGTAAATCCTGGGCCCCAACGGATCCCTTTCCAAAGTCACGTTCGGATCCCCAACACATCCAAAAGGTGCTGTTCCCACCAAAACCCCCTGAGAATTCCTGAACGGGGTTGGCTTTTTTGGGACCCGTTTTGGTGCTGCAGAAGCCGCCTCTAAGAGAATACTATGAAGGGTACCTTGGGGGTGGATTCTCGAGGAGAGCAAGAAACTAAAAAATAAGAAACAACAACAAGAAAAAAAAGGGGAAAAAAAAACATCCTGTGCTTTTGTTCAGGTTTGCCTGAACCCCCACGTGTAGATTTGTTTGGGATGGTTCCCACCCAAACCTTGCGGGGTGGTGGGTATTTGCCTGATTAGGGCCGGCAACCCCAAAAATTGAGGTTTCCTGTTGGGTTCCGGTGATAAAACCGGTGAAGAGGGCACCCTCGAAGAGCACCCACAAACAACCAAACAAACAAACACACAAACAAGCAAACAAGCAAACAAGCAAGCAAGCAAACAAACAAACAAGCAAACAAACACACAAACAAACAAACAAACAACCAAACAAAGAAAGAAAAGCACACACACACACAAACACGCACATTATGTTTCATGAGAGATGTTCTTTTGTTCGGGTCTCTTACAAACCTGCATGTATTGCTCAACTGTTGTTGGGCTCGGCTTTCTTTAAGCAACCTCCTTCTGGATTCCACTTGCATGCTAAGAACAAACCCACCTCCTCTACCCTCAGCAAAATTTTGGTATCAGGGTTCTTTTAATCCCAAACCTAGTTTTGAGCATCTTCTTCTTCTTCTTCTTCTTCTTCTTCTCCGTTTTCTGCTTCTTCCTGGTACACCTCCCCCAACCGTTGGCTCGGCGAAAGCCGAGGGGCCGATGGAGATCCCATCCGGCGAGGAGAAGATCCTGAGATCCGCCGAGCCCAGCTCCATGCTGGCCACCCCGGGCCAGACCTGGCGCCCGGAAAAATCGGCCCTTGGCGCTCGGGTGGTGACCCCCCTGCAAAAAGCTTAACTTTTTGGGGGGTCTAGTGGAAAATGCCCGGATTTCCCAAAAAGCTAAAGTCTAAAGATCCAACCCAAGAATTAGCAGTCAAGGTGGACTCGAGTTACTCGGTTTTGAGAGCAAACCCGCATGTTTGGTTTGGTGTTTTGAGGGTGCCCTTGTTGGGTTTTAACTGAAGTCTGCTTTGAAAACTGGCATTTTGAAAAGGTCCGCATTTTAAGACACACTTGTATCTTGCTACCCTGCACTAACATGGAACCACCACTGGCATAGCACCACCCGCCCACAAAACAGTACACTACAACAATCATGGAGTCTGACAGAAGGGTTGATGAAGACTGGTACAATACAAAGACATGGCCGCTTGTCACAACACGGCACCCCTAGGCTTCCCTTCAAAATGGGCTGATCAGATTTTGTGTAGTGGCTTGTACTACAAAGGCCTAAGCAACTTGTGGTTCGGTACTTTACACCAAATTTTAGTCATGACTTGTGCAACAAAAAGTAGTTCTTTCGCCCCGATCGGTACTCGTCGTTTTCTGCGCAGTCAGAACCGCCTGCAGGCGGATCACGCCCTCGCCCTTCTTCAGGAAGAACTTGGGGCCGGTCATCTCCGTCACAGGCATGCGGTTCAGCATCCAACAGCCACCTGTGTGCTTGTCGAAAAACGTGGAGTGATTTCTGGAAACGAAGCACATATTCTCCCGAATCACATACACCAGCATAGACCCCAAATAGCATGGGAGATCTGACCAGAACGGTGCTTTGCAGCACCCTGACTGCATCGCCGAAACAAGCGCCCACCACAACACCTGGAGCAGACCGCACAACAGCAAGTTGGCACGAACTCGCTGAACAGCTTGCCCCTCGCAAGAGCCTCTATAGCTTGCAGCTGGCAAGGCCTTTCTTGAAGAATGCGAGCAGCAGCAAACGGCGAACCGGTCCCCAAATGCTGGCACACCCACTCAGGCTTTGTACTCAGCGGCACGAGGAGAATCTGATTCGAGCTACGTCCCATAAGAACATCCTCCCGCACTCCCCAGATAAAAACACGGTTTGCCTGTGCACAAAACCACACCGGGCAGAAATGACTGAATCTGAAGTCCCCTGTAAACTGCTGCAATGTATTGGTGGGTTCCAATAATCCAGCCCTGCTTTGGGAAATCCAAGACTATTGAGGGACGTAAAAACCTGCCTCCGCTTGAAGAAGTGGATGTATAAGCCCAAATTACGCCACGCTGCGGAAGTACCAAATCCTGCACCGCTTGGTAGTTTCTGCCAGCATTCCATCCCCACTGGTGGCCAGCGTGGACTTGTCCAACCCCGAGGTGGATGTTTTTGGGGAGTATGTGCAGTCCCTGACAAACGAGCGGGTGTCTTTTTCCCGAAACCCTGCCTCCTCCAGACATCCAGGTCATGCTGGAAGGCACTACCTTGGCAAACACGAGTGCATGAAACAAGGTTGGCAAGTCGCAACGATGCCTAGTAAAGGTTGAACAAGGTTGCACTTGCATGGCTTGATCATATTAGGTTCCAGCAAAGTTCGCCCAACCCTGCTCCTCAAAGCTGTGTGGAGCACACTTCCCCTCCCAAAATTAAAAAAGAACAAGAAATGGAACATGCACCACAGGTCTGAATTTTGGCAGAAGTTACAGCGATGAAGGGGTACTTCCCGGTCTGCGACTGGAGTTCCCGCGGCAGCCTGCGAATGCCGAAGTCGGCACATCACTGTTTGGACCGGGAGGGGAAACACTCGGGTGTGTCTTTTCTAGGGGACAGGTCCCAAAAGTTGATTTTCGGTGCTCCTTGTAGTTTCCCTTAACCACAAGAAAACGGGCACCCTCAAATAAGACACACCCACTTGCTCGAGGAGACAAAACCTTTGAGGTTAAGAAACAAGTGTGTTTTGAGGGGGAGACAAAAAACGGTTTGAAGGGGAGCAACAACTTGTTGCAGGGGTTGTGCAAAGGGGAAACCAGAGAAAACACATGGTTTGTTGATTGTGCTTCTGGCTTTGAGACAAACCCATGTGTTGCTGTGTGTGTGTGTGCTTGTGTATATGTATGTCTATGTCTATGTGTATGTGTATGTGCATGTGTCAAGCGGTCCTTTGAGGAAGAGGCTTGATCAGATTAGCATGCTGCCAACCCCACTCTTGTGGGGGAGGCCATATGCGCCGCTCCCTTCGCATGAATACGTCTCATGTTTGAACAAAGCATCCTACTGCCCGGTTCATGACCTTTCCCTACCGAGCCCAAACCGAAAAGCTGTTTGTGCAAATGGTGCGCCCCCCATGATACTGTTGACGGAAGAAATCCTGCACCGCTTCAGGGTGTGACTCAAGTAAAGGTAAAAGGATGCGAGACCCACGTCCCTAGATCAATGTAGAGCAATGACACAAGGGGATGGCGCAGGATTTTCGTCAATTGCACGGTTGGGCTTGTGTGCCTTCCAGACACCCAATATTAAGTTGGGAGCGCAAGGTTTCACAAGACCACTTTCGTTGAGGTGATGCAGGATTTCTTCCGTCAACCGTAGGTTTCCCTTTGGATTCCTTTTCAAACAACCCCACAAAGGGCACCAACTCGAAACAGGAGCCGCGCCCAGTGGTGAGAAAAGAACTATTGGCAAATCTGATAGGGGTTCTCAAGTTTCTCTGTTCCGCAAATGGGGCACGCACATAGAGGGTTGCGACAAAATATTGGATGGTCTCAACTTCCCAAGGGCGCCCTCAAAAATTGACACACACCCAAAGCCTAGTTGGTGTTGGTGCCTCGAAAGAATTGCGTCTCGGATCGGATTTTGGGCCAGCACGCCCACTTCTGAGCCCAAATCAGTTTCCACCAACTTCAAGAGGGGGCCCAATCCATGCCCAAAGAATCTTGCGGATTCTGACAATGATTGCCTTGTGGCTGTTAAGGATTCTTGGGGGCCATTCTTCGTGGCATTAATCCACCATCATCCACCACTGCGGCGCCTGTACCGGACCACCAGGGTCTCCCCCATGGATGCGCAGGCGCGGTCGAGCGCCAGCACGTCGGAGAAGCCGGAGTTGGAGCTCAGCTCCATGCGCACCGCGGCCAAAGTCACTTGCCGGTACTTGGCTTGGAAGGCGCCGTAGGCCGCCAAGGCCTCACCCTGCGAATCAAAACAGGGGGTGGTAAGTGGGGAAACAGTGGCAACAGGGTTCCTAGGTGAAGACAAGAGGTGTGTTCAACCAAAGCTGGGTGTGATGGCAAGTGGGGTAGGCGCGAGATCCCATACCATAGATAACAGGCTTCACCCTTAAACAGAGAGAAATATGTGTCCCATCTAAACATCCCCCCAAAGGAAAGTTCAATCAACCGCCAAAACGGGGCCATGTGACGTGATCCAAAGACCCTGGTAGAAGAACGTTTGTTCGTGAAGAAAACCTAGAGGAAAGCAATGCCAGTCTCTTGTGGGTTTGATCAGCTGGCGCGGAGCAAGTTGTGGGAGAAAATGCGTGACCGGATCAATCAACCCATTCTATCAATAGGGTGTTCCCCTGAAAAAGTGATGATTCCCCACCCACAACACCCCCCCCCCGCTTATGAACTGGCTTCACATTCGCAGACATCGGCTGTTGACGTCGAACGGCGCGCCGCTTCCGCGTCGGTCCGCCGGCCCCGGCCTCAGACAGGGCCGGCTGGCACCGCACCGAGGGCAGCGACCGCCTCGACGAGCCGCCGCCGCCGCCGCCGGGGGCCACGGAGAGGCGGTCCTTTGGGGCCCCCCACACGCCGCGCAAATTTGGCCAAAAACCAAGGGTTGAACAAAAAAGAGTTTGAGCCACCTAACTTGGAACGGCCTTTGTCCCTTCCAATTAGCTCAAAATCGCCCTTTCGTGTTTGTTTCAACTTGAACCTCCTTCTGGTTGATCATAAAATAATATTGTGTGTCTCTGCCTTTGTCCCTCCCAGAATCGACCAACATGGAACCGGTTCAAGATGATTTCCTCCAAACGGGATCTTCTGCTTTGGAGGGTGAACAGACGCAGCCCCTGGTAACCTCAATTTCAAAGGGAAAATCAGTTGTAGGGAGACCCCGGCAAACCGCTCTTTAACGGGAACCGGGGGGGGGGGGGATCTGCTGATTTACCAAGAGCACCCCCAGATCAACAGGGGTGCAACCCAACCCATTCTTGCGGAGATCAGAGCACTTTGGGGGTCGCAGCCCCTATCTTTAGGCCATTATGGGGTTCTCAAAATAATAGACCGCCTTTTGTGTTGGTGGTAGGGACTTGGAGTCCCTCATCCTTGTCTGTCTAAAACCCCTAAGCGGCCCACCCCAAACCGAAAAGCTACTTGGTTCTTTCCCTTTCACCTCTCTTTAAACCAAAAGGGTGCCGAGCCTCACAAACATGGGGGTCCATGTCAGTCTATGTCTGACACAATAAGGATACCCCCTACGGGTACCGAGCCTCCAAAAACGACAAACCCTTTCAATACCAACCAAAAGGAGGTCCGACATCCTTCTTTTGGACCCCGAAATGATGGGTTCCCCTTTGGTTCCCTTTAAACCAACCCCCAAGAAAAGCTACGCACAAAAGCGACAAGTCCATCAGAAACTCCGCGTTTCGGAGGTCTCCTTGGAGGGGTCCCGGCTGCTGGAGTCCAGCCCCTGGCCGCAGACCTTCTGGAAGGATCCCAGGCTCAGCGACACCTGCGGCGCGGCGGCCGAAAACGCGGGCAAGGAACGGGCACGGGGCGGCGCTCCGAAAGTCTTCAAACGGGCGGTTTTCAACGGGGTGGGTTGAGTTCCCACCATGTGCTCCGGTGGATGGAATTGTTCGTTTCTCCCAGGATCAAAATCAAAGACACACACACTCCGGGCGGGTCTTTGTGGAGGCGTCCCTTCTTGGGTAGCTAGACGACAAGATAGATATCATTTCCGCCGATCTGAGGCGCACGGAACGGGTGGCAACATATCATCCTTATACTGATCATTGCATCACCAGTCATCATTATGATCCATACTGATGAAATGGCGATTGCTGTTCCTTTACTTTATCAATACTTTCCGGTGGTGATGCTGCCGAGGGTCCTGCTGCGGTGATGCTGGCGATGTTGCTGCTCGTTACTTTATTTACCATATTAGGATTCAAAAGGGATGTTATCTTAGGCCCGATGCCGGCATGTTCAGCACACCCGACATCCCCAACATCACCTGAATTTGACTTACAGCGGTCATCACCCCCAGCATCACCAGTGCATTGGTCAAGAAAACGAGTCTAAGATAGGCTCCAGTGGCGATGCTGGGGATGCGAGAGGACAATACTTTTTTGCGTGTTGAGTCCCAGATACTGATGATACTAATGGTGCTTGGGCAGAAAGCCCACCAACAGGGAAGCCTTTGGCAGCATTTTTTTGCAAGGGCGGGCCCCAAATAACCAGGCTCTCTAAAAAGTGTCCGCAAGATAGCCGCACAGTTCTCTTTTTGGAACACCCTTCGCGATGCGTTGCTCGGGAAGCAACAATTTGTGTCTTGTCAAGCATACCCAGCTTTGATGCTACCCCCAAACCCCTTGCGGAAAAAGGTGGCAAGCGCCCAACATGGTCGAAGAACCTCCTTTAGGCTTCCCTTAACAAGGGACCTTTCAACTTTCAAGCAACTGCTTACAAATCAACAAACTTGGCCACCAACCCTGCATTTTTGAAGCAGGCGTGCCAAAAATGGGATTTGGACCTCCAGAATGGGTTTGCTATCCCTTCTGCATGCCATCACGAATGAGGTCCGAAAGGGAGATTCTTCCAAACATGGCAACTTTTCGATGGGTACCGTCTGAATTAGTCCCAGGCGTTCTTCGCTTTCCGCCAGCTTACCATGTAAACCCATCCAAGAAGGGGTGACCCAATCCAGTTAGCGACAATTCGATTGGGGACGCTCTTGGCGGACATCATTTAGATCGAAAATTGAAATTATTCCCCATCCAGAACCATGGCCATTCCAAGCGCAGGGGAGAATGCCGGGCTTCCCATAGTTTCTCTTGAACATCACCCCACAAGCAAACTGATTTTGACCTGGACTCGAAGATGATATCAACTCAAAATGGAAACACAGGAAGCCCCACCCCACCCCACCTCCCACCCCCACCTCCCACCTCCCCCCACCCACCCCCCCTCTTGCGGGCCTCCCCGGTGATCTGCAGGCGCCGGGCCATATCGGCCAAGGAGGCGCCCGTCTCACAGGCCAGCCACACCCGCAGGGCGAACTCGTGCAGGCTGAAGTCCCCGCCCTGGCGGCTCTCGTTTTAGAACGAACCCTCCCCCAAAGGTCCCTGAACCCTGGGCACGACATGGACCAGCAAGGTGTTGGAGTTGGAACCATGGGGGGATGTTAAAGGGAAACCCGCAAAAATTTGGGGTGCCCTACTCTGACACAAATTTCGGGTGCCCCACGTCTTGGCCGAACAAATCGCACCTCTTGCAAAAAGTGGTCACGCTTCACTGGTTGAAAGGAAGAATGAATTCAACCCAAAATGAAAACCCCACCCTCTCGGGCAGCTTGTTGTTTTTCAGCGGACAAAACGGCCACAGGGAGCCTATTTTGTTCACACCCAGAGTTGGGCAGCTGTCTGCACAAAGTGCTCCGACTAGCCCCGAACATACCTTCAGTTTTCGTGCAATTTAGTCCTTCCTGTGTGTGTTTGTTTGTTTGTTTATTTTTGCGGAAGGGTCTCCCAAAGAAGGGTGTGATGGTTAGGCAGTCGTTTTGTGTGGCGTGTCAAGAAAATGGGAGGCAAATGTTTGGAAACCCGTCTTGAAGGTGCCGTTTGTCCAATTCCCAGCAAAACCGGGAAGCATATTATTGGAAACTAGAAGCGCAACCAAAAGAGAGCAAATCCTTAGATCCTTGAGAACCCTGCGTGAAGGACACACCCAAGTACACAGCCAAGTATAAACCTTACGGGATGAAGTCAGGGTGGCCTGCAAACAATCCGCCGGGGCTTGCTGGGCAGAGCGAAAAGTTGGCTTGTTTCAACCAGACCCTCTCAACCACCCCTGTAAGGCGAAGCCAAAGGAGGTTGTTTGAGCGGCTGAGTGGTTTGTGCCTTGAAGAACCCCCTGTAGAGGGAAACCAACATGATGCTCCAAGGTGGTTTAAACAGCTTAGTGGCTTGTGCCCTCGAAGCATCCCTTCAAAATGAAGCCAACATAAGTTGAAGCTACAACAAAAGCAGTTCAAGGGGAAACAACCAGAAGGAGCTTTACTGTTCAGGGAACCCACACAGATTGTCCAAAGCATGGAGATGTGTTCCACCTTTCAAGGAGGATACCGTATACCTACAATGGGCCCTTTATTGGGACAAACCCTTAGACATGGCTCGCGCGCCTGCTGCACCAGCTGCGAACTGCGGATTGCGTCCCCGGTGGGGGACATGGACAGGAAGACCCTGAGACCGGCACCGGTGTGGCTTTGTCTCAATGTCTTGGGCCGAAATGGTAGGGTTTCCTGTTGGCCTGCCTTAAACAAAAGCGCAAAGACGACGCCTTTCGGAGGAATACCAGCGCAATCGTACATACCCTTTCTTGGCCAGGTGGCTGAGCAAACATCTCAGAGTCCCAGGAGGTTTACAAACAGGGGGACTCCTTACACAAGTGGCTGGATGCCCTCTTTAAGGAAGTCCAACTTGATTTCACCAACGCAGCAAGGAAACCAAAAGGGAAACAAAACCATTTCCGTTGAGGTGCTCTCAGCTGGTCGAGAAACAGCCCCAAAAGTATCTGTCGTTTTGGACAAGCAAATGGCACTGACAAACGAGTAGAGCCAGACTGCAACTAACAAGTGTGATCCGTATTTGCAACCGAACTGAAACCAGAAAGCACACCAAATGACACCGCTGCAGATTCACATGGCACCTATGAAGCCCATCGGGTTTTTCCATGTCTTTCTGGAAGCATTTGGGGCTCCATCTTATTCTGTCTCCAGGCTAGTGAAGTTGTTAAAGCTGAAACCAAAGAAAAACAAACCACGAAACCCACAGCTGTGCCCCGGGGCGGAAACGCCCACCCCCCCCGTTTCCCGAAGTTTTGTGTGGTGGTTTTCTGGAAAGAAGGATCCCTGCAAAGAATTGTTGCAAGTTGCACTAGATTTGCCCAAGCACCAAAAGAGGAAACCGAGCAAACCTCAGGCTTGTCCGCCAAGATGGAAAGCCCTGGTTATAGTTCTGAATTAAGGCTTGAACCCCTTGCAATACATATTTGGTCTCTCAAAAAAAGAAAACCCGAAAATACAGGGACCCCGCCAAAAAAAGGTGTCCTTTTGGTTTCCCTTTAAAACCGGGCGGACAGGGTACCCTCAAAAAGAGACGCACAACTGTTCGAATCCGGCTCCTCCGGGCATCCACGTAGGCCACGTCCAGGTTCGCCGCCAGCGCCAGAAACCGGCCTTGGGAGATGCTGTCCTGCGGGAGAAAAAGAAAAAAAACAAGCTCTTTGTTTTGGTGCTCTCGGGGAAAATTGGTGAGTCACCTTGTCTTATTGTTACAGAGGGTGTTCCGGAGCAACTGGGAACAATTTGTCAGACTGGGTTTTTATTTGAAGTGGGGATGTCCAAAAAAGGAAGTTGGACCAGGGCGCTCCATCTTTGGAAATACCCAACATGGCCTGTGAACCTTGGTGAACTCATTTGTGGAAACCAGTTTTACTGCCCTGCGAATTAACCTGCAACCGCCAAAGGAGAGCACAAGGAGATTCCTCCAACGGAGGATTCGTTGCGCAGCTGTCCAAAAAGTGGTCGTATGCAACCAATATGGGCGCATCCTGTTCGTCCAAGGACAAACTCCTCCCCTTTGTAGGAAGGAGAGACATGCAAATATTGTGGCGTGTCCTTTTTGAGGCCCCCTCCTTGGCCTGGTTCCATTTGGGGGGTAAAAACCCTCAGACAGGAAGCCGAAAGAAGGCGAAAGTGTTGGTCCGCTCGACCGGAGTCAGTCGGTCCTCCGCGCCCAGGCCCACGCTGCCCAAGGCGGAGCGCCAGCCCCCGAACTGCAGGATGGCGAGGGTGCGCATGCGACTGAGGCCGCTGGGGGGCGCCGCCACCGCCAAGGCCTGCTGAAGCTCCTGCCCGGAGACATCCCCCGGCAACCCGAGCTGAGCTCAGAGCTTTGCTGAATCTGGACAAAGAAGTCGAGGCCGAAAGTAGCTGGGAGTCGTATCAAGTAAGCCCCCTCTGAACATTTAGACTTGCAAACCCTGCGAATACTTTCGTAACTGGCTGTTGCAAGCTCATGACCCGAAATTCGTCCAGGGGTCTCGCGTATTTTGGGCGTGGCATTTTTGAGTGGGCACTTCTTGGTGGCTTTAAAATGACATCGAAAGGAAACAATCCGTAAGGGTGTAATATTTTGCCTGAAGGAAACAATCGTATCAGTCAACTCTTGCAACGAATGTACCAAAGGTCCGCTTGCTGCTGGGTTTGGTCTTGATTTAGGTTGGCTGATTTGGGTTGATCGATGGTGTCGTTTGAGTTTGGTTGCTTGGCTTCAAAGACCTTTTTGCCAACCTCTAAGAAAACACCCCTAAAAGAACTGGTTAGTTTAGGAGTGGCTTGGAGGTTGGCTGTCTAAATGGCCAATTAGGGGTCGGGTGACTTCCAATTAGGGGTTGTGAAGTCTACGGTGCATGGGAACCAGAACAGGTCCAAAGGCAGCCCATCCTCTCGCAACCAGAGCTATCATCAAAATCACAAACGCCTTTTGGACCTCCTTCAAAGGCAGCACAGAATCACGCTTCAGACAGCTTCTAAAAATGGGAACCAACACCTTTGTACAACCCTCCGTCCGTCCTCCTGGTCGATGGCTCCATCCTGCCGGGAGTCGCAGGCGGCGAAGAGCAGGCTCAGCAGCTCATCGGGCTCCTCGGCGTCATCGTCCACGCCCTCCCAGACCTGAGCAGATCGGATCTATTGGATCTCTCCCTCTCAAGTCTAATGAATTAATTTCCTCCCGCCTTCACCTTCCACTTGATGAATTCTGAAACGGGAGCCCTTTTTAGGGTTGGTTTAAGGTAGATCAAAGAGAAATCAAAGCCTATTCTGGGAGACTAACCCATTTTGTTCTTGCCATGCAAGCCACAGTGAGCGAAGTTGGCAACTAGCCTACGATGAGAGGTCCTCCTAGTGAATAGGGAAATGTCCCAATACGATAAAAATAGGGTGCACCACATAGCCTGTGTGCCAAAGCTCGTCACAAAGAGTATCACAGGAATCACATTCATACCCGCGCTCAAGCAGTTTAGCAGCGCCCGCACCAAGCAAGGGTCACTGAAGTTCCGAACAAATCAATTTTCTGCATGTCAATGAACAAAACGCCCTAGCTCCAAGCTGAAACATGTTTTCTGGCAAGGGAATTGCCCCCCCCCCCCGCTTTCACCCAAAGCAACCTCCCACGGCCCGGCCTGCTGAAAGCTATCGCGTGAGAGCTTCCCATTGTGGCTCACAGCCCTGGATTCGAAGATGCGGCTCACCGAGCGGTACCGCGCCGCAATGTGGCTCCGCAGGTCGAAGATCAGACTCTCCGGCAGATTCGCCAAGCGCGGCAGGGCCACGGACAGGGGCAGCTGCGGGGCAGGCTCCAGACAGGCCTAGGCAAGGACTTCGCCAGAAGTTGCACAACCGGGGAAGCAGAGAAAGAGAAGGGACAAGAGAAACGTAGTCGAACCCGTTCATGCTTTCAACTGCAAGAGGAGGAGCTGCAGAAAGTCATGTCTGCTTTGGGGATAGTCTCCCAGCCTGGCCGGCAATCAGCTGCAGATTGGCCAAAACCTCCTCGGACGATACCCCTGGGCAGGGTTTCAGATTCTGTTTCGACCCGAACCTCTGGGTCCTTGGCCGGGTTGCAGGGGTGTGTTTTCAGGGGTGGGTTGGTTCCCTGGCAGCCTCCACAAGGGGAGGGGGGGCCCTAGTCACTTCCCTAAACTGGGGGTGGATCACGAATGGATGTCTTTAAGAACCATCCCAAAAAGGGGTCCCTACTGCAAAAGACCCCCTGCAGAAAGTGAATTTGTTGCCGGTTGAAAGCCAAAATGAAGGGAAAAGACGCAAAGACACAAGAAGCCTTCTGTAGTTTGTTCTTTCAACAAGCCAAGCCAAGGTGGGTTGTGCTTGAAACGCCCAAACAAAAAACACCTACGAAGCTAGGCCTTTCTGGGTCCAATTCCATCCGCCTGGCAGCGCCATCAGGGTGCTCGCCCAGGAGGCCCCCAAGACCTGAAGTCCGTGACAACCGAAAGTCGTGTGCCACGAGTTGCGCGCGGAATCTCCAAAGCCCCGGCGACCCGGATGTTTTGGGGAATTTGGGGCGATCCGCGCCTGGTGGCTACAAAAAAAAACACGGAAATCTGCCTGGGTTTTGACGTTGGCTCAAAGGGGAGATAGAGGTGGTGGGAAATATGGCATTCGAGATGGTTCCTGAACTTTTGGAGGGTCCACGCAATTGTCGAAAGGGGAACGTAAATCTTGGAACACACCCTCTTTCCCACAATGCAAGTGGACTGGACAGCTACCGGACGTTTGAAGAGGACTAGAATATTCCACCATCCCAAATTTTGGAAACAAAGGCTTAAAATGACGTCGCCCTTCTCTGGCCAAGATTCCGTGAACCTTTATCGAAACACCAAAAGGCTGCAAACTGGGATTCCCTTCACTGATCAAACACACCGACCCTCGTGAGCATACTGCGCTCTGGAAAGTGGAGCAGAATCGGCAAAACGCGAGCCAGCTTCTGTTGGTAGTTGGAGACACACAGTCAACTTCCCAAACTGTGGGCTTGTGTTGATGAGTGGTTGGAACACTCCTCTTCAACCAAAGAATAATGGCAAAGACTGAGCAACAACACCTTCTCTTCAAGCGAAACAATGAGCAAATGTATGTTGGTGAGTGGAGGAACACGCTCTTTTTGTCATTTCGTGCGTAACTGTGGCGCAAACTAGCACCACCGCTAGTGCACTTTTGTGGGGCTCCTTCAATTGTTCAGACACGTTGCGTTCACCCGTTGCTAGGCTTCTCTGGTGCTTTCTCTGGACCACCCGACCTGCACCCTCCCAAAGGACCTGAGCAAAGGTTCACCTTTTGCTACCTTCAGCAAAATAGTCAAAAAAGGGACAACTAGTCAAGAGATTCGAAAGGGAATTCAGCCCCTCCTTTAAACCACTCTTCTTTCAACAAACTCCTTTTGGTCTCCCTTTAGGGAGACCATCTGGTTGTTTCACCATCCATTTCGACTCCCAACCCGGCTGTCGCAGGCCCAGCCACACCAGCGCCGCCTTTGTCGCGGTCAGCGCCGCCTTTGGGCGCCCGGAGATCCACGAGCTGCAGCACGCCGTTGGAGGCGGAGGACTCGTTGGGGATGGACTTCTTGAAGCTGAAGGCCAGCTGCGGCAGCGTCCCATACCTCAGTCGTGGTCATCTTTTCCGCTCCCTAAAAACCGTCACAGTTGGGATGTCCCAACCGGCAAAAGATGCCTCAGCTTTCCCAAACCAGCTTGGACTGGGTGACATTGGAGTTGGGGGGGGGAGGCCAGCCCTGGAACATGGAACTATTCTGACTTTCCATTGAGCTGGGGTCAAACTTCATCCCCGGACGACATTGGATACCTCGATTTCTACAGTGCCGATAGATGAAAATGAGCTTGTATCTCCGCGAAATTGACCCCTGAAACGTGAAAATTCTGCCCTAAGCCACAGTCTAAGCTTGCTAACATCACAAGCTCCCGCCACAGCGCTGCGCCAGGATCCGCTGCTTGAAGCCTTGCCGCAGCTCCGCCGCGTAGTCCTCTGCCGCCGCCACCAGCGCGGCGAGGCGCGCGGAGCCGCCGCCGCCGCTTTCGTCGGAGGCGAAGTGGCGAAAGGGCGACTCCTCGAGGCACAGTGCCTGGCAAGCGGCCACCGTTTGTGCTGCTTGCGCATTGATTTGTCAAAGAAACGGCCGGAACCGGTATGAACCACTCTCAGAACTCCCACTCTCAGAAAACCGCAAGGCCTGTGCCAGCGCTTTCCCTTTCACCTGCAGCAGTTGCTCCAGCTGCTTCTCCAGATCTTTCCCATGCAAAGGGAAGGTTTGGGACTGGAGCAGAACCGCCACCGCATGCTCCAGCCGCCTCTCCCGGTCCACGTGACTCAGGTCCCTCTCACCTCCCATTCCGCCATCAATCTTCCAGATCGAGCTACCCAAAGTTAGGGAGCAGGAGCTCTGGTGCTCTCAAGCAACTGAAAAGTCTGGTTACCGTTGTTTGAGTGATTGAATCTTCAGTCGCCATTTCATACGCTTCTCTCATGTTTCCTGTGCTTTTTTCCACCGATGTCAGTCGATTACCTGGATGCAATGGACTTGCTATGGGCGACTTGCCACAAATTCTTGTGAGCCATCGCCAAGGCCAGGCTCGCCTTGGAGGGATCCAGGGACCCGCTTTGCTTTCTCGCCCAGTTGCCCCGAGTTTATCTCGCTTGAAATTCTTTGAGGTCGAAAGCAAATTCACTGTTGGGAGGCCGCCTTTCAACAGATGGGCATGGCTGAAGAGACCTGGCCGGAAGGCGGCCAAACGGGGTCCAGGTTCCCGCCCAAACATCGCACCAAGGAACCCTATGGAACACTGCAAGTTGATACCCCTGGCCACAGCCAGCCACTTCCGGTCCGCCAGACGGACCCTTTTGCTTTCGCTAGGGCAAGACCAGCGCCACCGGTTCATGGCAAGGGCTTGGCACATTAACAGGCCCGGGCCCCGTCACAGTCGGAGCACAAACCTTCATTCAGGGGCCTTCGGCGAGTCGAGCTTCTGGTTGGGTAAAAAGAGAGGCAAGAGAAAGCAAGTGGGGAATACAGGTCCATCCCACCATATGGAAGCACGCAAGCGTCTGCCAGGTGTCCAATTCAATCATAAGTTCCCAGAAAGAAAACGTGTTCAGCGTGTGCCTTGCGTAGGAAAGCGAGCCTCATCCCAATTCACCCACAAGCCCAGGCCGCGATCTGTGGAGCGTGCCAATCAAGCAGTCGCTCCGGGAATGGACGAACTACTGCGCCTGTTTGGATGACTAAACACAAGTCAAATCGAGCTGCAGAATCAGTTCACTTCTGGCAATGGGTGAAGCATCTTTCCAATCAGGCGCAACCTTCCT